AAAATAAAAAGCTCTATTCCACCCTCTCATCTACATTTGTTCACCAGTCCACCATCTATACGCTGTGTGTTTTAGGTGACTGACAGCACCATAATGACCGTATTGCGTGGATCAGACAAAATCAGACAAGATTTACATAGACAAAACAGCCCTGTTTTACATGACTAAACAAGGCAAAAATCTAGCTTGAGGTGTACAGACTCTTCTGAGTGTTGGTTCCAGAGTCCAAGTTTGTGCTTGTAGAAGAGCTATCTGCTATGTGAGATCACCGATTTACAAGATGCTCTCCATCAGTTTACGTCTTGTCACTCCCCCATTACCTGACATACATACCAAAGAGTGCTCGCACATATACGTATTCATGCAAACAAGTCAACATGTTCAAACTTGCACTCCATCTCGTGCCACTCGATTGCAAGATATAAACACACTTTTCAACAAACAAACAGCTAAGCTGAGCGTGACCACGTTGTCATTATGAGAGGATAGCTCGCCATGGGCAACATACACAGAGGACAAGAGTAAAGCAGCATACCACAACCGCACTGCGTAACACTCACAATCTTTCTACAACTTCACTGGAACAAACCCCACACTTAAATAAAGTGCTACAGACGGATGACGAGCATCTGATACGGTTTCTGTGTCTGGAGAGATGTCAGGCCGTGAATCCCTCTTTTAGTGCTCAGACAGTATGTGTTTAAATCAGTACTGCGCACAGCTGACAGACTCAATCATAGTCATTTCTCTCCCTGTCTGGGCCTTTTCACTCAGGTGCACCTCTTACATCACCACTCAGATGCAAAACGATACTGGTGTGAGGACTTTGGACTGAACTGAATTTCAACATAGCCCTGATTCTAAACACTCAAGCACAGACCAATGCAACAATACTTCTGACATTACCTACAGACATACCATTTTAGATGAATACAATATGTAATTGTATATATTACATATTAACAATATGGAATTACATATAATTGTGTGTAATTCATTTAATTTTCTGTCAGTGTTTGTGTTTCTAGATGGGCAGAGGCAAAGATTAACTAAAGAAAAAACCCAAGTTAAACACAACACAGTGATATAAAGGAGGGTCCACTGCTCAGGTACTTTAATTAAGTTTCTTACATCTGAATAGCTTGGGGCTGTTTACTGTAACTACAGGTTTTGAGGGCTGACGGGCATATCAGTTTACCTTGTGTACTGATTAGCTGTACGCTGTGCTGTTTACGGTTACAGTCGACTGGGTATCTGGGTTTAAGCACAAAAACTAATTTGATTTGAAAAGGCGCTCCTCATTAACTTCTCAGTTCTACCCTATTATTCCAGCTTGCACTGGATGGAAAGGCAGGGACACGCCCTGGTCAGATCACCAGTCCGTGGCAGGGATAATACAGGTGGACTGAGTTTAGAGTCGCTAAGCCACCTTTTTTGCATATCCTCAGACTGTTGAAGGAAGCAAGAGCAACTGGAGAAAACAGGAAAGGCAAAAACAACGAGGGTTGAGAATCAAACACAAGTTTTCCTCACTGTGTGCACTAAGAGAAAAGCTGAGCCGAACAGAGGTGTCATCTGGAAATCAATACACGGTAGAAAATGTTGCTAATTTAAATACAGGACAGGGCGGGGTCACAGCATGTTTTTCCTGTATGGGAAAACAATCGTAATGTTTTACATTATTTTCTTTTGCATAAGCCGATGTAAAGAAACTAAATTGTCCTTACGGTCTTGTATAAGAAGCTAATACAACTATTGTAACTCTGCACACCACTGTCAGCTATTCAAATCCAAATTGTACAAACCATTATTTGAAAGTTAAACACGTCCAACTTCCCATATACCACAAGTGCAAAAATCTTTGCCAGTCCAACAGATAATGAATAGATTTGCATTTATAATTAGTTGATCACATAGCAGCCGACTTTTTGACAACTGTAATCTTTTTGCCTTTGCCTTCATTTTTGACAGCTCCACACATCCTGGTATGATATCATTTGTTTTATTATGTATTACAGACTGTAAATAAAGCCTTTACAAATGTGACCCTAGTTCAGCAGGTACACAGCAAGTAGAGCCTTGAAACGACTGCAGGCTATCTGATATACGAGCTTTTGAAATCTGATAATCTAAACACCCACGTTTAGCTTCCTCTCCATCACTCCTTATCAGTGAAAGGTGGGTACTGACCTTTAACCCCAGTTTTGAGCCAAGTTTTCCTTAACAGCAAGTAACCACAACAGTCAGATACAGTATGACTCATTGGTAAGGAGGAGTTCACATTGTTTTCACATTAATTACCTAAGAAGCAATTATTATTAAAAAAACAAAAGCACCAAACAAACCTGTTGTTTTTATATGGACAGAACTGAGTTTGAGCAGAAGAAACAGCACTGGAGCGATGTAATAAACAGACATGAGTTATGCTGAGGATTGGCAGCCATGTTCAGAGGCAGACATGTTATTTGAAGAACTTTAATTTGAGGAGTGTAACACTTTAAGCTCTTGGTAGAGGACGATTGTGACTTGACTTACAACAAAACACCCAGCCCAAAATATAATTACATACAGTGAATATATATTTAAATACTTTCATATACCTTCGTTCAATGTAAGCTGTATTTAGACTGAAGTGATACATTGAGCCCACAATACAAAGTGAGCAGCTGGACTGGTTTGGTATCGATTATCTCGGAAGACAGTGAGCTCCTTGAGACACGTACACGTGCGTTATTATTAAAAAAAACTACGTCTAAACCTAAAACACTCACAGGCTCACTCGACTGTTAATAGTACATACTTTTGGTATATTAAAAACAGCCCTAGATATACTTATTTACATACGTTTCCACGTCCTTGCTTTGAGTTTTGTCTTACCTGTGCGAACTTCCCTCGAGACACCTGACACCTGTTGCTGCCGCTGCGTCACCGCCCGGTGTGGAGCCGACAGAGGTGGAGTGAACAGAAAGGTGTCATGGGAGTGGAAGAGCTGGGTCACGTGATTTCATACACCAATGACCTTGGCTAGTGTTGCATTACTCCCTACCTGGTGCATTAGTGTGCGCGCTTGCATAGTATACCACCCATCCAAATTCCTGAGAACGACAGGCGATACTCCCTCATGGTTCAAAAGAGAAAGCACAAGCAAAGCTGAACAACAGCTCGAGTGACAGAGCAGCAACTCGTTCACCAGGAAACAGTGACAGTGCAGGGATGTGGACTGCTCTTATTTGTTTAGGTTAATTTAAACAAATATTGGAAGTGTTTATGCACTTTTATAATAATTATAATAGTACTACTACTTATACTACTTCTGTTGTTACTACTACTACTACTACTACTGCTGTTACAGCAACTAATACTACTACTGATAATAATAATGATTATATTGATAATAATAAACTATAAACTATACTATATATACTGTACTATATAGCACCTATCATACACAAAATGCAACAATGCAAGTGTTTTTTAAAAAGGAAATAATTGAGCAGATATACAATGAATTCATTTAAAAAAGGTCTGATTCAGGCATTTTGATGCTCTTAAAGCAAAGGTAAATCATATATACAACATTACAATATTTTAGTACAATAGTACCTTTGTGAGATTTTGCATTAATTAAAATGCTGTGCATAGTGTACTGGGTCTTTGCATTACATTTTCCTTCTAATGGTGGAGTGAGAAGGAGATGATGGCTTTAGTTTGAAGGCTTTGCTTGATGCTCCGGTGTTGGTAAGCATCTAGTCTGCTCACGAGTCCTTGAGCAAAGCATTATTTCCTTTAGCCCCTGGGGCTGTTGCAGTGAAGCAGACTAATCACTCTACGGGGTCAAAGAGTTGCTTTAAGAATTAGTGTTTTGTGTTCAAGGTTTCATTGGTATCTCCAGGCAGGCCAACCTGAGGAACAACACATCTGCCCAGTTTTATACTTAACCTAAAGAAACAGTTTACCTTTAATTAAATAAACCACATTTCTCATCCATTTAGTCACTAAATGCCGTTACTCATTTACAAACAACATGAGAAAACATATTTCCTTTTACAATAAAAATAATGTATGTCATATTATTTTCAAACTGATAACAATAGTATTATGTAATGTTATATAATGTGTTCATATCAATAGGCATGACATTGTATTGATGTATTACCCTGGGAACTTTTAATAGTAGCTACAACTACTGTAACACTACATTAAAAAAATGTATTAATTAACTTTACTACAGCCTGAATTTCATTATACAACCCGTCATTGTAAAATGTCAATTAAATTACCTCTCATCCTTGCATTGACTTATCAGCTGATGTATTGATTTTAATTGCCTTGCATTATAAAAAAAGAATTAAGATATATAGACTGACATTTTTCTATCTGACTGACCAGCAATGAATCAGTTTTCCTTTCTTCTTCTTTTCTTGTTCATAAAAATGATGTTGAGTAAAAGAGCACAGAAGCATCCATTCATCTGGTAAAATGGAATGAGCTAACTCTTATTTGTGTTGTCAGTCGCCTAGCAACAGTGTGCTGACAATTTAAATCAATGTCTCTATGTTATGTCTCATTAAAGATTTATGACTCCGAAATTAATCTTGACTTCTTTCAAGAAAAAAACAAAACAAAACATATTGAGTGTTTGTTCTACTGGTGAACATTTTAATTGTAACTCACCGTACAGTGTTAACGTTATATAAGCTCCGTGATGTTTCCATAGTTAACGTTAGTGTATGAAGAACCGACGACTACGGACATTATGTAAGATTGATGGGGACAAATTAAACCAGAGGACGTGTATTTTTTTTAGTTTCAGGTAAGGATGCAAACCAACAATAAAGGAGCAAAGTGCAGCGTAAACTCGCTAAAATAAATCACTACTGAAGCAACTGGCAATGACGCCATTGCCCGTTAAAAGGCAGCTTGGGAGGAGCTACCTCATAATAATAATTGGCATGTAATATTTAAAAAAATAATAGATTCAACGACGGCAATAACAGCTGTCATATTGTAATAATATTATTAGTATTTGTTTGGCCCCAGGGGCACTTCAGACAGGGCAAAAGGGGGCATCGGACTGAGCCACTTAACCACCACCGTATGTCGTCTGCACGTCCCTGTGTTTCAGTCATGTTTTAGTGTCCACTCCTTCCTCCTCTTTATCTGCGTCTTCTCAGCCGTCGTCTGAATCTGCTACAAACTGAGAGAGGAGGGCCAGCTTCACCACCACAACACATATCGATATAACGTTGAGCAGGCGGAAAATAAGAAGGAAAAAAATGGATTAACAGACATATATATATATATATTTATTTATTATAGCAGTTAGAAGCACCGCTCTCGGTTCACGGGGAGCTGATAGAAGAAGATGACCCTTTTCTCTTCGCTTGAGGAGGCTGTGCTGCTGTGTGGGGGAGTGGGTTACATCCTGTGGCGTTTCCTGTGTTTGTAAACTAGACGGTCTTGAAAACGTCGGGCGACTGAAGCTGAAAGGTAGATAAATATCTCCTCGTTTTTCCCCTCGATGCTCGATGAATTTTGACTGTGCATTCAGTGGTCTGCTCTTTCGTTTGTAGATATGCATGCTCGGAAATGGCAGCAAAGTGATTTACCTAATATTACAGCGTCAATGTTAGCCACTGCTAGCTCGCTAACAAACGTTAGCTTAATCGTCGGGAGGGAGGGAGGAGGGGAGGAGGGGGGAGGCTCTCGCAACGACGGCCATCACGAATGTCTCTATCGCTCAATCTTGTCTTGAACCAGTTGAGCTTGTGTACCATACTGTTAAGATTAATTGATCCAGTCTGCAAGATCGATACTTTCGTGAAGCTACGGTATGAAACCGATAACCAGGTGGGCTCAAAAATGTTCGATTACTAACATTAAAGTAGGCGAGGGCGCCAGCGAGCAGCTAGCTGCTCGGCTAGCTGATGTTAGCCAGCTTGTTCAACATCAGCAAAACTAACGTTGTGGGTTGGGTGGTAGCGTTAGTGCGGAGGCCAGAGCAGACAAATGTCATATGTCTCTTTAAAAACAATAGTATGTTAGGGTTGTAGCGTTTCCTCTGCCGACAGCTAACACAGCGATAGTCAGAAATCAAACCTTAGATCGTAGCCTTGTGGTCCTTTTAATTAGCGTTAGCCGATGTTAGCGTTGCGCTCGCTGTCTGTTTTCCTAGCAACGTTAGCTGGCTAACCAACGCCAATGGCGAAATCACTTAAAGTATACCAGTCCCTCCATCTGGCTACCGCTAACCTTTTCTGATGGTGCACAGGCGTAACAGTTAACTCGTGCCACCGTTTTTGGGGGGAAAAACAAGAAAACACGGAACATTAAATGTGCAGAAACCCACCACAAGAAACAATAATGTTCCTTCGAGTAAATTCATGGCCTCCTCGTAACATGGTTGTTAAAAACCCGTGTCAAAATGCAAAAGGCACGATTCAGTGTACCACAGTTAGCAGGAGGACAGACCTAGAGGTTTGCTCGCTTTGTTATCGATATGTATATGTTTACAGTTAAATGTTTGCTTTTGTATTCTCCTTCTACCGTAACGCTGAATTTAAAGATACAACCACTCATAGATATGCAACGTAGGCTTGTACTTATATTTAGGTCTGGTTTAACCAAACAGAAGATGTAGATACAGGAAATTTCGCCTTTACAGTTGCAATGTACAGTGTTCATGACTTTATTGTATTTATTCGTCTCAGAACCAGACTCTCAGCTAATAATACATTATAACTAGGCTTTAATGTATGAATACTGGTATCCTTTTGTGTATGTTTATGTGTTTTAGGAAACCTGTTTTTTTTTTTTTTTGAACGTATGCATTACAAGTTGAATATTTTGACGTGCTGAAAAATACTAGTTGTTTTACCAATCATACTAAAAATGCCATTATTCTGTAGTTGTCTGGCTGTTTTGTAGAGATTCTTCCTCTATTTACATTTCTATGTAGTCCGCTCTTCACATTTCAACTTGTTTCACTCGCATTATACAAATCCTAGTATATAGTGTCAGTTCTTTCAGAAGTGGAAAGTTGTTTATATAGACTACAAATGAACCCATTATATTACCCATAATATCCAGTTGTACTTTGTGGTTGGATTTAATGGTTAGTGTTTGGTATCGATAACAGCTTTTGAATCCAAACCGGGTCCAGATTTATGAGAAGCAATTTTCCTTTTAGACTGATCGTATTGAGTTTTTACAATTGTGGACCAGAGCTACCACTTAAAATTATTGGTGAGGTCCACAAGTAGTGATACCGCAACATGTCATCATTTTGCCAAAATAATTTCATACAGCTCAGAGGTTTACAGGTCTTACACAAGCAAGCATTAGGTGTAGAACAATGTAGGACTGGATGTTTTTTATGTCCCCAGTAACCGTCTTAAATCAGTTGACGCTACTAACACATGCATCCTGAATAACATAAATCTGTAAAACACCAATCATTCAACTAGCAATGGCACGAAAACACAGATGAGAAAATACATACTTATTTAGAGCAGGCTAATGTTGCTGCAAAAGATGTTTTGTTTTCAGTATACTGTTTTATTTATTTTTTTATTGTTCTTCACCAAAATATGCCACGAACCAGGATTTAAAATGAATTAGCTGTTGTAGTTTTATTAGGAGTATGTTCCATTTCTTGTCTCACAAAATAATGTAGATTTCCGCTTGAATCTTTTCTTAAACATTTGAGAATGCCAGATGAAAATCACAGTTTAAGTCGAATTCAAATTACCCTGACGTCCAGTGTGATGAACAGGCAGGCGATTTTTATACTTAACAAGATACATTTATTGGAAGGACATCATTTGGCTATTGTGTTTTTTTATTTATTTTTTTATTTATATTTTCAATATAATTTGTTTCTGTGTGTCAGCCATCAGTAACATTTTTGTAGTGGTACGTATAGCGACTAATTTCTACAAACAAAAGCTAAGCTAACACTATTAGCATAGTTATTTGTACAAATGAAGAATATTTGTGTGTGTTTTTAATATATGATGTCCGGATGTCTTTGACCATCCTAACTAGAGTTAATGGAATATGTAACAATAAAGACAGCAATTGATGCTGTAATTTAATGTTTGTCTGTTTCATCCACATCCTCCTCTTCTTCAGTTTTAATGCTAGATGAGTGAGGTGGGTGTGGCTTCCCACCAGCCCGACCATCCTGACTGACGGATCTCTGGATGACCTTGTCCCCACCCCTGTCCCTGCGCTCACATACACCACAGCAATGTCACATCTGCCCAGCAGCTCAGTCCGCGACCATATGAAATGGGTTTGTTTTGAAAACACCAAAGTGGTTACAAATAACTTTACTTGAAGTCTTGTGTCACTCAGGATGTTGTCGTTGATGACTAGCTTGGCAAATGCCATGTGACTGCCAAGATTGTCTGAGATTCAGATAATTTCAAATTGGTTTTAAAAGTTTGATGTAGTTTGTAAAAGTGTTGTTTTTTTAATTATTTTTCTGTGCAGGCGGGGCTGCTTGGCTGCGAGGCTGTCCTTTCCAGTATGGCCCTGATGCAGGCCAGCTCCATGGCCGCTCCACCCAAAAAAATGATGGCTCCACTTGGCCATGGACCACCGCAGAGAGATGGATCTGACCGTGGTCCCCAGAGCCACATGATCCTCCCATCTGGAATGAGCTGTCCACCCTTGGTTAGGACCCACTTGGGAAATGCAGAGTGGGAATGGGGGCTGTTATGTACTATTGTGAAGGGTGTGAACTCTTTATGGAAAGTGAAAATTCCTTAAAGGCAATAATAACACAAAGTTTCAGTAGTGTTTTAAAATATATACTGGGGTGTATGAGTGTATGTCATATGTGCTTTTAAGGAAAAAAAATATATTGACATAATCCCTGCCAGATTATATGTACGGGCAAATAGTTACAGTTTTGGAGGCTCCACGTATCCCATTGTCCTTATTCCTCCACAAACAATTCTTGTTTATTGTTTCATGTGGACAAAACCTTGCGCTAACAAGCACAGTATATGGATGATATTCATCCTCCATCAGAAATTATTCAAATTTTTAGTTTTAAATTGTGTGTTTTTATTTTTTTTATTTTTATTTTTTACTAAAATCAAGATTCAAAATGTAAAAACCCACTCTATTTAACACTGGAGTTTTCAACTGGCAGTGGCAAGAAAATGCACATAATAGAAGTTCACATTTATCCCTTCATTTTAGTAATATTTAGACATTCTGTTTTTAGTTTTAAAGCTAACAGATCTAAAATTAGGAAATAATTGACTTTTTCTGGCTCTGTAGCTTATCCGGAAGGAAGGTGAATTTCAAGCTCCCCGCCTGCTGGACGAGAAGGAGATGAGGGCCAACGAGGACATGCAGCAGAAAAAAAAGAACAGGAAATCAGTAACGCCCTGTAAAGTGAGAGAACAAGAGGGAAGGGGTGGGAAGGTCAGTGGCTGTGGTTGCTAAATAGGGAATGGTCTGTGCAGTGCATGTTCATTTCTCCTCATTACATAAAATATGCCGTTAGCAGATTGCACACGTTTTATGGAAAAGCATTTAACTTTATTCAAGTGCGCCTGACTTGGAGCTTTCATGTGTGCACTTTTTGTTTGTGTGGGGGTGGGGGGGAGGAGTTCAGGGAAGATGTGGAGGGGGTGGAGGATCTCTAGAGAGGAAAGAGGGGGAGGGGAGCGGAGCAAAGCGGAGCACAATAACTGCAGTTGTGTGCATAACAGGGGGAGCAGTAACATGAGGGCATTAGGCTATCGGAAGGGACTGTGGGGTATTTCTCAATTAAAATGTTAATTACTCGTAGTAAAAAAAAATAAAAAAAATAAATAAAAACTTTAATATGTTGCCTGTCCGTGCCAAAGATAATTTGGGTTTTTAGAAAAGAGTAACCATTTAAAATATTCCCGTAAAATTGAGATTTATGTGTGCAACGTCTTTAGAACGCTATAGAAACCATACGCCTTACATTTATCGACACATACCGATTTCGCAGCAGTTTTAGATTTCCTTTAGGTTCTGAGCAGCTGTGGGTGGGTATGTACTATATCAAATTGTGCCATTGTGTTTGTGGTAAAATACACTGTACCTTTTTATTATTAGTGCAATGTTAAGCTGGCATTTGAAACATGTTGAACTGTTATTCTTTACTGTCCTCATCAGGGCACAGGAGATGAGAATGGTCCATCATCCAAAGTGCAGAAAAACTTTATTTGTGATCACTGTTACGGAGCATTTAGGAGTGGATACCACCTGAAGAGACATATCCTCATTCATACAGGTATGGGTCACGCTTGGAACACCTGGACTTTAAAGTTAAGCCAGAACAGTTTTTTTAATGCCTGATTACATGAATCATTTGTTGAAAGAGGCCCTGAAAGATTAAGTTGGACTGAATCTAGGAGTGTGCAGCAACTGTAAGGTTTTGCTATGGCCTGCTTAAAAACCTTGTTTGGTAATAGCTTTTGCCTCACAGCTGATTGGTGGTATCTGTGGGGACTTTAACTAAAACTGGTGCTCTTCGGTTTAGGGGAGAAGCCGTATGCTTGTGCCGTATGTGACATGAGGTTTATTCAGCGTTACCACCTGGAGAGACACAGCCTCATTCACACGGGTATGCGTCCTTTAACCGTACCCATATTACATAAATCGGACTACATCTGTAGTCTGTCACTTGAATCAATGGACAGATGCTCAGGGTTCATTTTGTCTGTGGACAGTAATTTCCAACAAAGCCACCCCCCAAAATCTGTTCACCCCAAAATATAAAGCACGGTATTTGTCTTATAAATATTGGTCCCCCATCACCAGGAAAAATTGACAGAAGGCGATGTAATACAGTGCGGTCCAATGGTCCCGAGTCCACTATTAAAAACTGTTGTTTCAATTTTTTTTTTTTCCTCTTTGGATTTCCATTATTTGCCTTAATTGTGGCTTTTCAGTTTGACTGGCATCAGTTGTAGAAATGTTTGCAGGATTTGAGAATCCACATTATTTTAGCCCTGTAGTAGAAGATCCCAGAGATGTCGGAGACGCATTCCTTCTTTTCTCCAGAATATTAAGTGGGGTTGATCTCTGGTGCCAGTGGAGGGAGAACTTAGCTTCTCTTGTGACTGTTATTGCAAATATTCTTCTGTAAAAACAACTTTCCTTCTGTGTTCAGCTGTGATACTCTGACATTATTTGTCTCGTGCCCGTTTGTGGCCCATTGCTTTTACTTGTTTTGTTGTAAAATTGTTTTAACGAGTCAAATAGGAGGTTTTTTGTTGATTTGAATTTGTTTTGTTCATGCAAATGCTGTTGGGTCCTGTACAGATGTCAGCTTGATACACTGGTCTTCACATGCTATGGTCACTTAAAAGAGTAACCACACCCAGGCTAATCCTGCGTGTTTTGCCATCTAGCAGTTGCTGCATGCTCTGTAAACACCTTGTGCAGTACAACAATTCACTATGCACTAGTGGGCAGTGCTATATCACAGCTGGTTGTGGTCACAAGTACAACAGACCACATCTGACCGCCCACACGGTTCGACCATCTGACAAGCACTTCTGTTGAAGCATACTGGCTGCTTTATTCTAAAAAGTCTGCCATGTCTTGGTCTGGGTGATTTGACTACATAAAATCAGTGTGCAGTCCCTGTAGGACTTTTACTTTAAAAGCAGATTTGTGCTGGGAAACTTTCTTACAAAGAGAATCACTGGCTCCACAAAATTGGTTTCCTCAAACAATATTAACAGACCAGTTAATGTTACAGTAAAACTTGCACTAGCAGTAGTGACACGACCATTCATTTTTTATGGTGTTCTCACCATGTATTACGAAGATTACTTGTGCTACTGTTGTTACTATTTTAATGTTATGATTCTTGTGACTTTTTCTGTGCATTTCTTGGGATCTAAAAATATTCACTTGTATCAGTACTAAGATATTATTGAAACTAGTAAGAAAAACAAATTATATCAATTATGTTGCTAAATGATGACGACAAACAGTTCTGTAAACAAGACTTTTTGATAGTGGACTTGAAAGTGGACTCAAACTTGTGGACCCCAGTGTATGTATGTGAAAGCCTCCAAGCACAGGCCGCAAAAAAACATGCAAGATTTATTTATTTTTGTCATTTTGTATGTAATTATTACTTTGTCAGTGAGAGTAACTGCATGGACATCAAAGGACTATGTTCTTAATTGTTTATATAAAATGAAAATTGAGGACTTAAGTAACATTTGCATAGTGTCAATTTTGCGTTGCACCCATTCACACAAAATTCTTTGTTTTTCATTGTTTAAGAAGTATGCTGTGGGTAAGTCAGACTTCCAACCTAATCGTTTTTCCAAGTCATTGACTACTGCCCCAGTATTCACAACAAGAAATGCATAAATAGTAAACTAATGTTAACCAACTCTACCCAATAAAATACAGTACATATATATATATATATATATATATATATTATTTTATTCCAATATCCCAGTGGCTTGAGTAAGCAGTTGCTCTTTGTAGCAACACTGCATCTGTTCTTTCTGTTTTCCACATAATGAATTTTGTGATTTACATATATATATTTTAACACATTTTCGCTTATTTGATTGGCTGAATAGCTAATAATTGTATGCTCTGTGTGTGTAGGGGTGAAGCCGTACGCTTGTTCCATGTGTGACATGAGGTTTTTCCAGCGTTACCACCTGGAGAGACACAGACTCACTCATACGGGTATGCGTCCATTTACCGTACCCAGTTCAAGTTAAGACATTTATTTATCCTGTTAGTCTCATTGAGATCAATAGTTTTTATTCAAGAGGCTTGAGAACAAAAACATAGTCTGAACATCCACATAAATAACATACAAGCAAACATGCAGGCCTAAAACACCACTTTAGGGGTTGATCAGAAAAATTCTTATTAAATGTTCAACAGAATATTTAAACAATCCTGTAGTATTACATATTGCATCCCATATTAGGGGTCTTAACTAGTTTACAAAAACACACCAGTGACTGATCTAAGTATTTGTTCGGAGGAGACATTGTTTCCTCAACATAGATTTTCATCAGATGCGCTTGATCGCAGTCATTTATTATTTAAAAATGTAGACTTATAACAGTAGTACATTGATGAGAAACAGCAACAGTGAAATACCAGATAAATAGTAAAACCTGTATAATGCAACCTAATACAAAAGCCCTTCAATAAATGCTACTGAAAGTTATAAATCTTTTGTTGAATTTGGTGGACAAATTATATTAACATCTTTTTCCAGTTCAACACAAAAACAGTTGATGGCCTGTTATTTACCATATCCAATAATGGGCTATTTATTGTAATGCATGTATGAAAAATTGTAAGTAAACACCTGAAATGAAGTAAAATACCTCCTGTGGACCCCTCAAAGTGTATTATCCCTCTTGTACCATTGCTGCTCAACAACTGCTTCACTCTCGCTTCCTATTTTTAGGTTTTATTTTTTATTCTCTGAGGTTAATGTTAGGTGCTTCAGCAGCAGAGCTGAGGAGATAAGCTAAGTGTTAGTAATCACACATTGTGTACATAGTAGCCTATGTTAGTTCTACACATTTTACGTATCCAATCATGTATTAATTGAGAATGAAAAACAATATTTATTATTAATGGATTTTTCCATCATGGTCTGGATTTTTGACAAAAGTGACATGGTATCATGGCCACAGTATAAGAAACGGGAGTGATTGTTCACAGTGTCTTAAGGAAAAAGTAAAACGTAGAGTAATCTTGGATAATCTTGGCTTTATTGGAAAGTTAAAAGTTTTTATCTCAAGTTCATATTTTACAGGGGGTCACAGTTAGTGTTAATGCCCTCTTGTATGATCCAGTCATATTGAAGTAGCTGATTAACTGAGGCCATGGTATAATATGGGAATAGTCCTTTGATGTCCACACCTATTGCACATGCAGGTTAATGGCTGCACAGCTCATGTGTATTAGCTGTAATTGTCTGGCTTTTTAAATTCATATTTGATTATATAATTGTGCAGTTGCTTCTGCTGTAAGTTTATGGCGGAGATCAGATTGGAAGCTTTTATAAGTTGAGGCAGATCATCACTTTGGAGTGCTAGAAAACAGACAGACTTGTAACGCTTCAAAGCAACACACACTTTCGTGCCACCATAAACTGAACGGTTGTGCATTGTATAGACGTTAAACAAATTTCAACTTGCAGTAATTTGCAACAAAAGTGTTAAAATGCTAAAAAAAATTGTAAACCTTCATAATTGTGAGCAGTGGATGAGTGTGCTCACGTTTCTGCTTCAGCTGGCCAGTGTGATCACCGTCTTAGATGTGTCTTTGCTATCTTGCTGCTTACTTGTATGTCTTGTTTTATATATGCTTGGCTTATATCCTGTTGCTGCGTTTGTTTTAGGATGTACTCCAGATAATATGAAAATGAATGCTCTCTAAACCTGAAGAGACTTAGTAATTAGAAGTAAAACAAATCACCCCTTCGCATGAAGCTTGATTGGAATGTGTAATGTCTACCAAGTCCTAGTGATTTAATGCCTGTGACTGATGCTTTCCTTTGATGCTTAAGGAACGTCATAGCTAATATGTTGATACTTTGTGTATGTAGGGGTGAAGCCGTACGCTTGCTCCATGTGTGACATGAGGTTCTTCCAACGTTACCATCTGGCAAGACACAGCCTCACTCATACTGGTATGCGTCTGCTTACCCTAGCTCATTAGGTAGTGGGTTTTAGAAGTGCCTTAACTTTTCAACTCATGGCAGTGTTAACAGATTTAGGGTGTTTTAAAGTGACTTAAAATGACTAGTTTCAAATATTCTCATATTCAGAAAAATAAAAATGTATCCAGACATGTATTAGGATGGTTAAATATAAAACATACCATTTTTAGCTCTTGATAGAAAATACATACATAGTGGGGCACCTGAATGTACACAACTTCAGCTTTTCCCCTGCTGAATGCTCTACTTTGTTCTGTGCAATTTTTCTTTGTTACTCCTCTAATTTTTAAGATTTTTTGTTTGACTTAGGTGACCGACTTGGTGTCACAATACACATAACCATGTAATGCAAAACAAAAAAAAAATATATTTCTCAGGCTGTTGGTATAATGTGTAGAAGCACAAGGAGCTATTCTAAGGGAAGAGTTGATGGTTATGTGTTTAAACTTATTTTTTTTCTGTTTCTACTTTTATATTTACATACTTTTCATGTGTGTAGGGGTGAAGCCATACGCTTGCTCCATGTGTGACATGAGATTTTTCCAACGCTACCACTTGGCAAGACACAGCCTCACTCACACGGGTATGGGTTCACCCTTCTTTGCTTCATTAGAGCCCAAATACCCAGTTTACTGAAGTTTATCTGTCCTTTGTTTATATGACTTTTAGTCAGGTATTTAAAATATTTATGATCATCAATCAGTCTTGACTGACCACCTTAAACCTTTAAGGCACTATTTTTGAGACATCACTGCAGTGCCTGTAAATTACACCTTGACTTGTGTCTAAACACTTTTAAGACCTTTGCAATGCATGTCAGTATTAAAAAGCTGCACTGGGATCAGCAAAAATACGTTTTCATTGAGGCCCCTTTTTCACGCATGTTCACGCAGAATAGAAAATGGAAATGCATTTACTGTTACATCATACTGGTACCACTGCTTGTGGCATGTCTGGATACATAATATAAGTGAGTGTGTCCTGTTCAGTTAATTGTGTTGTTTTTACCAAATATTTTGCTCTGTGTGTGCAGGGGTGAAGCCATATGCTTGCTCCATGTGTGACATGAGATTTTTCCAGAGATACCACCTGGCAAGACACACTCTCACCCATACGGGTATAAGTTTTAATTATCCCTCTCACTTGACAGTAGCAGGGGTTGTAGATGTTTGCCCTTGTGTGTAAGCATCCTAACCTACCTGTGAGAGTACTACACAAATGTTCTCCTCAGTCCACATTCTTAATTATGAAAGGTTAAAGTTTAAGCACTTGTAGATTTTGTCTTTTCTTCTCTGGTGTACTGATTGTATTTAATAACTGCTTTTAGGGTTGACCTGACTCTTTCTATGTCTTGGTATGTATAGAGACTAGTTGGCCAGGAAAATACATGAGACCTTCTAATGACATAACACTGACTACTGTATGTAAAATGACATATTTTGTGTACATAGTTCATGAGAACATTTTCTAAAGTTTGGTACTGTGTGCGTTTAGGGGTGAAGCCATACGCTTGCTCCATGTGTGACATGAGGTTCTTCCAGCGTTACCATTTGGCAAGACACAGCCTCACTCATACTGGTATGCTTGAATTAATTGTTCCCCTTTCACTATGAGACCTTTCATATAAACAACCTACACATGATTTTCTAAGTCCCTCTATATGCAATACCATAATTATGCCATTGTTGGTAGACATTTCCCCTTCTAAAAACAAATGTTTAATAGAATTTTTAGGCTTTGTTGGAAAACTGTCCACTGAAAAAGTGACTCTGTCAGTTACCTTGTTTTGTGTGATTATTGTAATGGTACTGTTGCATGTGTGTTGTTAAAGTACTGTATTACATATCCAGTGAAAGGCACATTACACTAAAAAGCATTTTAAATGCAGGCATCAATAGTCTAAAATGTCGAGAAAAATAGGCTACGTTTCTCAAGATTTTTATCAGGCCAATACAAGAGTGTTTGGTTTGACAATGAAATGGTGCATCTTGAACACGGGGTAACATGAATAATCTTCAACATGAAGTTAAAATGGGGGTTTTTCACCACGATCAACAGTTTGTTTGCAGATGACTGAATATTACTCAAGCTGGTCCAAACTGCAACATGTAAGCCCTGTTTCTCTTTAATTGATGCACCGTAACTCTTGACGTCTGCAGGTTCTTAGACTGTTTTTTTTGTGTAATGTCTCTTAACAGAGTTTTGTCTGTAAAGCATGCAATAATTAACAACCTCAAAGCATTTCATAATGTCTTTTAAAATGTTGGTGTTCATGAAATTCATCTGTGCGTTGAAATGCATCTAACATTCTTGTGCTCTGTTTAGGGGTGAAACCGTATGCTTGTACCATGTGTGACATGAGGTTTATACAACGTTACCAACTGGAGAGACACAGTCTTACTCATACGGGTACGTCCTCATTTTTTTAACCTTGACCCTCTCTTTCCCTGACTTCGGTCATGCATGCGCTGCAATTGAATGTATACATGGCTGCTTCAAACTCGAGTTTGTATTGCTTTCTATCACTATATGACAAGTGCTAATGTTTCATGTACCGTCTGCAAGTAGCCTCATAAGCTCTTGCATAACAATACCTCCACCCATACTTTGTATATGAAATGACACTATGACCATGAAGCAAAAATGCCAGCACCACTCTTTGGTTTGAGGTACTTTATTTAGATATTTTGCTTAAAAAACATGTCAATTTCTAGATGTTAGATGTATTTTTGATGTTTAGATGCAAAAAAAAGTTCAGTTCAGACTGTTTTCTATATGGATAAGCTCAGTTGTAATAAGAAATTTGACTTTGACAAAATACAGCATATGCAAGACTGAATCTGTCTTTAGAAAAGCAAAACTGAAAAAAAAAGAAAAAAAGCATTTACATGAATCATTTTTTTTCTTGCATATTTAAAAAGAAAAAAAATCTAAAAGCTAGTTTTTCATTAATACATGAAATGCAAATAGGCTGAGAAGATTTACTCTTTCATAGACACTATTGATCCAATTCAAGTCAAGAGAGGAAAGTTCCCAAAACTGGAAGGTGTTTACTGTGAAGCAGCCACTGGCGTGTGACTGTCTACAGCTGATCAATTCTAGATTAACATCTGCACAACTAAAGATAAGCAGGAACCAGATTGGCTGCAGTTTCCATTGTATAGGACTCAAGGTTTTTATAGGTAATGACACAGAATTCCATTATTGTTATTAGATATTATTGTTTATTTTGTAACAGTTGTGGAAATTTTTTATCAAATTCTCAATTAAGGAGTATGTGTTGGTAATGTGGCCTGGTGGTGTGCATAGACCTGTGGTGGAAGAAACACTGTGGGGTCTCAGTTGATATGAAAGGGGTTATATTTAGGCTAAAATTCACAGTGTTTTTTTGTTTTGTTTTTCCTGTAAAAAATTAAAACCTGCAAATTTAGAGCTCACTGCTCACACAGCTTAGTTATTGTGTCATTTCACATTCAAAGCAATGGTGAGGAAATAACATATAATCCTGTGGCAAAAATGATTTAGTTTAATTGTGTATCATATTTGAAAACAAGTTTTGTGTAAGGGTATTCTTTATTTTGTCAGTCTGCTTTTACAGTAATTTTTAAATGTGAAGAGAAAGCAGAGATAATGTTTTATTTTTTGCTTAAATCTTAAGATTCTCGTAATCAGATACAGATAAGTTATGTATGATGGTTTTTAGAGCAGTTTCCGTTACTATAAATCAGTTTAAGATTAAAGAGTTGCTCTGCAAACAAATGTCCAATCTTAATGTGTTGTGCATAGTTGTTTACCAACTGCCTAAAATTGTCTAATCTCTGCGATCAGCGCTACAAAAATTTCAAGTATTTGCGTTCACAAAACGAGCGGTAGGTTGAAATTATATGAACACAAGCACCCATTGGCATAGTGTGAAAAACGTATTGAGCTAGTTGGAATGTGCCCACTAGGGACTTTGGTTTCACCCCAAACAATTGTGTGGTCATTTATGCTTTTAGGTTTAAAGATTAATTAATTTAAACTTTTTATACAGGATATTTTCATTATCCCTCAATTCTTCTAATTTAAACTTTGGTCATCGACCATCAGCAGTTACAGTTTACCTTAAATCAGATGTGAAATGAATTTCCAATTGGAACAGCATGTTTTTGAAGTATGCTGGAATTTCCAGTGTAAACAAGGCGCTGATAAGGGCAACCGAACTTTACTAAGCAATTAGTAAAGTTTAATGTCGATCATTTTTGGCAGTTGAGTGTTTTATGCTAAAGTTGGTACTTTGTGTGTATAGGGGTGAAGCCGTACGCTTGCACCATGTGTGACAAGAGGTTTTTTCAGCGCTACCACCTGGCGAGACACAGCCTCACTCATATGGGTATGCGTCAGCCAATCTTAACCCAGTCACAAGATTAGGATGCTGCAACATCTGTATGCTTGATCTAGTCATAAATATCTGTATTTTTTTGTTTCCACAAATTATTCAAGTTTAATGTCAAATAGATGACATCATAATCATGTGTTGTGTTGTGTAAGTGGATTTTTAGATCTGAATTTGAAACAAGCATCTTATTATATTACATTATATTGTACCCTTGTAAGTCATTTTAGGGTATGACATTGGTTATTAACCACCGATATCAATTTAATCCAGATTGATGCTCAAGTTATAAAAGAGAGTGCAGATATATTTATTTTCTCTCGGTGGCAGAGAGACAAAAATAATTCTCTTGATGCTCTGCGTTTAGGTGTGAAACCTTATGCTTGCACCATGTGTGACATGAAGTTTTTTCAGCGTTACCACCTGGCGAGACACAGCCTCACTCATACGGGTATGGGTCCGTGCACCGTGCCCATGACATTCAGTGTTAGAAATCAGTGTGCACATTTAATTGTGTTAGTTCACTTCAGACATATACCTGTTACATTTAAGGGAAATGTCAGTATGAAGGTTTAACAGGGTTTTCTAGTCTGTTGGTGTTAGCCAGTTGAGCAGGATAACAGTAAATCATTATTTTGTTTTCTGTAATGTTTGTTGATAACTACAACACTACAAAATGGATAAAGGCAGTATGAAGAAAATATTTGGGGAAACAAGTTTTGAGTTGTGCATGAATTGGCAAGTGTGTGGTTAATAACCAATAGCGTAGATATTCATTCCTAAATTATAAAAATGGAAAGTGAGGCAAAGTAATATAATATTGCTACTTTGCATTTAGGTGTGAAACCTTATGCTTGCACCATGTGTGACAAGAGGTTTTTTCAGCGCTACCACCTGGCGAGACACAGCCTCACTCATATGGGTATGCGTCCGCCCACCTTACCCATATCACTGAGATCAGACTGTAATTACATTTCATTAGATACAGAGCCAGCCAATCTAAGGCAGTTATCAGTGCTCTCTTAAACTGATCAGTACAATGATTTCTTGATCAAGCCTACCCTATATCATGTGTGTAAATGCAACATTAATGCAAGTCTTAATGTGTAAAGAAATACAGGACTGCAACATCATCAGCTCATGTGATGTGTTAAAGTTGTGGATTTGAGAATTGGTTCACACAGTTTGATTAGTATTCTTTATTGGATTTGGAGGAAAAACGACCACTAAAAAAAAACAAGAATTCATGTCTTTTAAAAGGGAAATTTCAAAACAATTGAAAAAAAAAAAGTGGTTAACAACCCATCAATTCTGAATAGATATTTGAAGTATATTGCTTATTGATGGATTGTGAACACAAGAAAATCAAAAGTCTGAAAATAATACCATAATGCTCTGCGTTTAGGTGTGAAACCTTTTGCTTGTACCATGTGTGACATGAGGTTTGTTCAGCGTTACCACCTGGCGAGACACAGCCTCACTCATACGGGTATGCGTCAGTGCACCTGCCCTTCTTACATTTTATAGGTCATTATTATATAGTCTTTATTGTGCTAATGTATTCAGTGCAAACAGTTTACAATACAGATGTCATATTTTTGAGATAGCCAAATTAGTAGCTGTGTGCAGAAGTATTTGCATTACATTTCTGTAACCTTTACTCCCAAGTATATTAACTTAATTATAATAATGATAATTGATTTCCTCTTGAACATGTAACACTTTTTTTTAATGAAAATTAACTAAAGTCTGTAAAAAAACAAACAAAAAAACAGCAATAGTGAACACATCAGGCCTCACCTCTGCATTTAAAACAACTACATATTTGGTCACTATAGTTCTTAGATATCGCTTTTTAGAAAACATATTTCATCAGCCCTTCTTCAATAAGCATGATTACTACTAGTAAAATGCTCAGTTACTTAAAATGTATGTTGGTATTTTGTTCTCACACTAAAATGTTCTTTTTGAAATACTGATAAATCAAAGTACTTTAATTATTATCATGATTTTAAAACCTACGTCAGTCAGCAGGCTAGTAACATGAGAGATGCAAAAATAAATGTATTTATTTGCAGTGTTGCCTGACAGGAATCATAACTCTTAAAATAATAATAGCTAATCCTTTTGTCTTGGTGCTGCAGCTAAAACAGTCAGTTGTGTAGTTGTCTTGCTGGTAACTATCAGTGTTACATGAGGGAAACATTTGACATATCTGTTTGTTTGTGCATGAATTGGCAAATGTGTGGTTAATAACCAATAGCTTAGGTATTTATTTGTGACGAATGAAAATTGAGGTTAAATAATATAATATTGCTACTTTGCATTTAGGTGTGAAACCTTATGCTTGCACCATGTGTGACAAGAGGTTTTTTCAGCGCTACCACCTGGCGAGACACAGCCTCACTCATATGGGTATGCGTCCGCCCACCTTACCCATGTCACTGAGATCAGACTGTACTTAACATTATATTAGATACAGGGTCTTCTGTCTAAGGCATTTGTTATTATTAATCTGTAATAGGGACTAGTTGTACATTGTTCTTGATCAGGGCTATCCTGCATTATGTGTGTAAATGCAGCATTAAAAGTCTGAATGTGTAAATGAATACAGCACTGTGACATCATCAGCTCATGTGATGTGTTTAGTTGTGGATCTGAAATTTGATCAACACAGTATGATGTATTCTTAATTGGATATAGAGAAAAAAAAACAAATACTCCACATGCATCCTTTTTAAATTAGGGGAATTTCACGTAGCCAGTGAAAAGTGGTTAACAACCCATCAATTGTAAATAGATGTTTAAAGTACATTACTGATTGATGGATTGTGACACAGAAATGAAAAAGTCCTGAAAATAATGTATTGATGCTCTGCGTCTAGGTGTGAAACCTTTTGCTTGCACCATGTGTGACATGAGGTTTGTTCAGCGTTACCACCTGGCGAGACACAGCCTCACTCATACGGGTATGGGTCCGTGCACCTGCCCTTCTTACATTATATAGATCACCATTTACTCCTTATATTGTTAATGCGAGGGACACCTTTGAATGGTTACAATAATAGTCAGAACTGTGTTTCTTGTAGGTTCTGGTTTGTGGCTGTTAATAAGACATTTAAATTATTAGTATTTACTCTTTATTTACATTTCTGTAACCTATGCTTGGAACTAGGTGAAATTATTTGCCCTCCAGAATTGTTGGCAGATAGCGTGAAGCTTTTGTGTGTTACACACTTAATACCTAAAAAGCCGGCAACACTATTAACTCATTTACACCTGGTATTAAAATGCAGTCTGTATCTAGATACGTCACCTGGTTAGAGGAAGAACACGTGGTTAGTAGTTATGTGCAGGTCTAAATGCACACGATGACAACATTGTTAATACATTTATGTTTTATTTTTAAATCAACCCAGCAAATTGAAAGGTTGCCTAACTTTAGTATCTAGCAAGCCTTCCCTCGGGAAGAGTTATTGAATGATGCCTGTTTATGGCACTGCTTCCCGTAACCTGGAACACGCCAGGTCTACTGACAAGCCTGCCAGCCGCACCTAACTAATTTGCATATTAGGATCTGCTCCGAATGCTGGCACAGTCAAGACCGTGAGATAACATGTTGATGCCAGGTGTGAGTGGGGTCCATATGTCTGCCTGCCTCGCTGCCCTTTGACCTTTTAATTCTATCTTGATCCAGATGGTGTTGGTGGAAATCCCAAAGGCCAATAATCAGCTTTTGATTTATACTTGGTCTGTTAGGTTAGATCCAGTTCATTAATTTCTGTTTCTTTATTTTGTTTTGTTTTGATTTGTTTAGCAGCCTTTTGAGATATGTTTTACTATATATACCAGTAATACTGGAGGGCAATTTAAGAATTATAATGTAGATGTAGGATTGAGTATGTTGCCTACTACAAATTTTCAACTTGTAAATTCTCGTTCTTATTAATTCCTAGCTGCAAGTAATAGTACGAAAATAATTAAAAATAAGAGAGTAAAAGCCACCTTTCCTGAACATTTAGCAGATATTATTTGTCATAAATTATATTGTGATTATTTTTCATTTAAAGGTAAAAAAATAAATATTCAATCTTTTGTTGTGCACACTGAAATGCAACAGCTATGAACTTTGCCTCAGAAGTCAGTAAGTGTAACTGAAAAACCACAAAAAATATCAGTTTAATCAAAACACATTCAGGAATCCAACGTTACTACAACCCGTGTGTCACTTATGTATCAAACTGAAAGGACTATTAAACACAGAAATCTCAAACACCTAATCATACAAGGACTAACCTCAATTTGTACTTCTGATAGCGTTCGATCGCACTGAGGTCATTTAAGTGTTAATGAACGTCTTATATTATTATTTCTACAGTATTTTTAGCTAAAAATATCTTTGTGTGACAGCAGGTTAATATCCAGTAATAACAGGTTCACATTCAATCTCAAGGACTTTTAAAGAATTATTTATGGTCTTTATGGTGTAAATGTAGACTTAATGGATAGAAGGTGAAAGGATGCTGAAATAGTAATGTGTGACAATTGAAGATGTTTATTTAGACAAACAATACAGTGATTAAATGCTAATATCACCGCACATGACAGATCTTGGTGTTTTTTGCTTTGTAACCAGACCTCTACATAATGTTAAAATCTGAATTAGTTCTATTTACAGTTTAACTTATTGTCTTAGCTGCATGTCTGAACTTTTCAACATATTTAAAAAAAAAAAGGAAATGCACATTATTCACTAAGAAATGATAAGCTATTACCTGCCAGTATTTTAGTCCTAGATCTAGCTTTGAGCTTGAAGGTTGTATTTCTTGTACTTGTGGGTGGTAGGGCTAATATATTGCTCTGTGTGTGTAGGGGTGAAGCCGTATGCTTGTTCCATGTGTGACATGAGGTTTATTCAGCGTAACCACCTGGAGAGACACAGCCTCACTCATACGGGTATGCGTTCCTTTACCGTACCCTCATTACTGAGAAAGGCTCTTGCGCTTGCAACAGAACGGGGTCACAACAAACTCGAGTTTGGATTGTCAAGTCATTTGATGGGATGTTGAACCAGCCTCAAAATACTTGCCCCAGTTTTTGGGGATACTATGTTGCGTAGATCTGGGCCACGAAAACAAGAAATTCCACTCTGATCTACACATAATGAGTTGATGACGAGGCCTTTTTTAGAATATCAATTTTTAGATGCTGAAACTAAACTGTTGAAATGTACTGATAGGGCAGTTTGTTTTCCAACTTGTTCTAAGCGTTGGAAATGTAGTTTGTAAATAAAGATTAGTAAGTGGGAAAAGTGCACGCAGTTTTTGTTGGTACAAGACGCTAAAATTGATGCATTGACTGTGTATTTGTGTGCTCTTTTAGGAGAGAAGCCATTTGCTTGTGACATGTGTGATATGAGGTTTATCCAGCGCTACCACCTTGAGAGACACAAGCGTGTCCATAGTGGGGAGAAGCCTTACCAGTGTGAACGGTGCCAGCAGGTATGTAAACAATGTAAAATAAACCTAATGTAATACTTGTTTAAATTCCTGCTGTGTGACACTTTGTTGTTGTTTTCTTGGTCTGTATAACTATTAAAAGAGACTCAACTTAACAATGTCCATTTTGTGTGTTTTGAAGAACTTTTCACGGACAGACCGGCTGTTGCGGCATCGGCGGTTGTGCCAGGGTCGTAGCGTAGCCAAAGTAGAGAACCAGCCATGCTGCGAACCACGCCCATACGCCCAAGAACCCCCACCCGCACCCCCAACCTGGAGTCCCCTGCATCCCCCTCCTGGCCGGCTGGCGGTCTGACATTCCACCTTCCCTACATCCACACCGCCAGAGATGGGTCAAGCCACAGGGTTTCTTCTTCTCAGCTCTGTGCTGAGTGACGCCACACTCTAGCACAGACTGATCTTGCAGCTCCAGTCTTGGGATTACTAATGACAGAGGGACATTTTGTGTTTTTGTTTTGTTGACTTTTTACTGTGTTTCCTTTTCTCCCCAGTTTTTTTAAAGACGAGACTTTTCTGTGATGAACAGTGGTCCTGTTTTGTACTTAATCTATTTGATTTTTGCAAAAAAAAAAAAAAAAAGTTTTTATTGTTCAAATATATCTGCATTTGGTGGTACTCGGGAAAGGGCAGTGGGTATTGTTTATCCTGACGTGTTAGCAACAAAATGGGATGAAGTGGCGAGGAAACGTATTTGAACTGCTTTCTGTTTTTTAAATTTGTGGCCCATTTTGATTCAAAAGAATTGTCACTTAGGTCAAAATTCGCAAAACTGAACTTTCCTTCCAGGTAAAGCAAGGAAACCACGCTGTTGACAACTCATGTAGACCAAATCTGGCTAGCTATTGCAGCTAACAGTGCTAAACATTAAGATGTTTCACTGAAAGCGGTATCTGGTCTAAAATATGATACAAACAATAGCCTTTCCCTGGCTTTATCGACATAGGAGGTACAGTTTTCATCATTATTTTGTGTAAATAATTGAAAGTGTTTATGTTATTTCGATATACAGCACTTGAGTGGTGATTTCTTTTTTTTTTATGCAGAAAATGGGCCAAAAAGAAACTGAAAATTAGAAACTGGTTCAAATACGGTCTGTTGCCGCTCAGTTTCCGTGAGATCCTGAGGAAACCTGAGTAACTTTTGTGAGTTTGTTTATAAAAAAATAAAAAGTAATATCAGACATTAAACCAGGACTTCCAAGAAATGGATAACGAGAAGGGGAACCTGCAGTTGACTGGCACTGTGTCAGACATAAAGCATTGAGTCACAGGAGTATCACCTGTGGATCTCATGTTCTGTGTCAGGTGTGACAGGCTGGTGACTCGGGGGAAATGGCACAGGAGGGAGGCCTTAGCAAGTTGTCATGCTATAGTACGTTCAGCTGTGTATATATACTGTATATAATATATATACAGAGATCTCCAGTACCTGGCAAAAAATGTGTCTCTCTTTGCTCTGTCCATACATCCTGGTCTAAAATTGTGCAGGTTGACCGCTTGAATTCCCATTATGTTGTCTGTACAGATTCTCACACTGTGAGATTAGCGGGGGTATACAAAATCTTGTGGCCTTAGTTTGTTTCTGGTTTTTTTTGTTTTGTTTTTTTTGTTTTCATTGGCCTTTTTCTCAACTGTTTATAATTGTTGATGAGATGTATTTACTAAGACGAGACAGCCTTTCATCATCATGGTATGGTTTTTTTTGTTTTTTATTATCCTAAAGCTGTCATGGTTACAGAATGTCGATGGCTTCAGTGGCGCTAAAACAGACTAATGTGTTCTCCTGTCGAGAGAGGTTGTCTTTTGATGATAATGAATATTTTGGGTCATTGTTACTGATTACAGTGTAACGCAGTCTATAATCCTTAAGGTGCCCCTGGGAGTTTGACGGTCCTTGTGAGAAGTCGGTAGTGCTAAAACGTTTCCCACTGCAGTGCTTTGGCTGGTCGAAGGCCATAGCAGAATCAACACTTGCTTGACTCTACTACACACTAACAATTGCCTTCTTATCCAAATATTGTGTGGTTGGTGTGTAATAATGGATGTCTGTCATGTCATTGGGTTTAGCCTTAAGTAAGTGCGGATACACAAATAATCATTGTAGTACTAAATGATATTGTAACGAACGATTTCTTTTACCTATGATGAACTTTGGTCGTACTATGTGAAAGTCTTTGACGGGCAGACAGCAAAGAAGCCGGTGGATCGGGGGCCACTTTGCTGCCTGTTGGAAAAATTTCTCAAACTTGATCCTTTCTGTGACTGGTGAGCTAGTGATTGCATTGTCCTAACTGTTCTGTTAAACCCAGAAATGTCAGTGCCGGGTGGGAAGATTTGTCTGCTAGACTAAACATACATGTACATATCAAGACATTACAACCCATTCTTTGACGCAACAGCAAGTAACAGACGGCTCAAACCATCGAGGGTGATTTCAAGGGACTACAGTCTCATTTGGATCATCCTGAGGAGAGAACAACTTCTTTTTGTTTTTTTGTTTTTTATTTAAAGGTCCAGATAAGCTTTAGACTGAATGTAGAGATGGAACCCCAGAGTGCATTATCTGGTCTCTGATTTGTAGGATGAACAGGATGTTTGATACAAATAAGTAGCTGATTACTGAGTTAAATGATATTTTACCAGAAGTATTATTGGGAAGATTTTTTTTCTTTTGAAATGGTCCAGTGATATCAAGGCAAAGTTGCATTACGGTTTATGTGTGTACAGAGGTGGGATTCAGTTTTTTACGTGATTTGGTAAGATGGAGTAAAACCCAGTGGCAGCTAAGGGGCCAAGTTTGAGAAATGGATTCATTTGCTCTGGAAACACTATTTCAAATCTGTGGAAGGGATACTGCTGGCACGAGCACATACTGAAATGGCTAAAGGGCAATACAGTATATAGTTGACGTCACTTGTTAATACCTTTTTGTCATTTATTGTTTTTAGTATTATCAATCTCATTGTTAAAATGCAATAGAATCCTTGAGTCTCAGATCATTTGTTTATAAGATTGAGGTTTAATTTTTCAGACAGATCTGAGGATTTGATTCTGAGAATTTTCTCATCACATTATGATGATTGTTTCAAGGACCTTTTTTTATTCTGATGAAATTGTAAACACTGGAGTGAAAGGAAAGAAAAGACAAAAAAGAGAGATGGTATTTTTTTTTTTCCTTCAGACTGTACTAGATTTTAGGTTTTAGACAAAGCCTATTTCTCCTCAACTTGACACAGAAGGTGGACAGAACAATTTGGATCAGTACAGTTGAGAGCCCAGTATGTTTGGTAATTTTGACATTAGAGGCAGTAGTACCACAAGAAAATGTTTTCTTTCTTATACGAAGTCCCTGGTATTTGTAGTAAATTATATTGATAATGGTATTAGATGAACAACAGCATAACAGTAGCTATCACAGATTAGTTGTTTTCTTTATTAGTCTTGCATGCAGAGTTATGGTCCTCAGTTAAGATAGGATCTTGATATTGATTATTTTGTGTAGGAAAATGAGTGCATAAGAATAACTTCCTAAAAAAATGTTACAATGATTATTGTAAAATGGGCTAACTAATATGTACCCTTGTGATCCAATTAGTTTCAAGTATATGAAAATCAGAGGAGAGGCTTCTTACTATTATGCTGAAATAAAAGAATTTGTAAAGGACTTTTGTATGCTCACTGGCTGTGTTGACTTCATTTTGATGTTTTTCATTTCACACAGTTAAGTAAAAAAACTACAGATAAACATGAGATTTTCTGTTTCAAGTTATTCTGAGCATTTAAAATCTTGCCTCAGTCATTCCAACATTAAAGGAACTCTGTCACTCTATTTGTATCGATATATGCACTTGTTACGTTTTGTTTTAAAAAAGATTACACATGCAACCAGGAAGTCCCTTTTTACTTTTACTTAACACATACATTTTTTTAAATTCTTTTTTTGGCCTTTATGCCTTTTTTATTTTGATAGAGAGACAGCTGGAGACAGACAGGAAAGGGGGGCAGAGAGAGAGAGGGGACGACACGCAGCAAAGGGCCGCGGGTCGGACTCGAACCCGGGCCACCACGCACACGGGTCGCCAGCTCCACCGACCGAACCAACCGGGCGCCCCTTAACCCATCAATGTTGACCCAGAATTCACATTTCCTATTTGATGGATTTAAGTAGAATTTCCTCCAGCATCAGGATGTGTGTGGACCCAACTTGGCAGGGAGGGAAAATTAGTTCACAGCCTGTCAATTGGTTGTAATAATCTGAGCAAGTTTCCAGGTAATTTTCATCACTAAGATGCAATATCAACTAAGTATGTAGTATTTGGTAATTTTGTGTTTTAGTTATTTATTTTGCTCACATGATACATATTCCATAAATACATTTGTGTCCAATAATATGACCACAATCTAACATAATCAATCATTATTAATCATTTAACACTGCATTCATTACATGTTAACATGAACATAAGAGGTCAAGGGATGGGGAGAAACATGCCACCCAAAATAAAAACAAATATTCTCATGACACAGTAATAACTGTAGATGTCAGTTAAAGTTAAAGGTTACACTTTAAAGTGCAGTATGCAGGTGGTGTAGATTTGTTTTGGGGATTTTGCTGCTTGCCTCAGAACTGTGCTGAAATGCTTTATAGTTTATTTTACAACCAGGATGTATCTTACAGGGTTACAATATTTAATCTGAGCAGTGGTGGAAAAAATTAAAATAAGGACACACTAGAGGGCAGTTCATCATGTTTGGTTTCACATTGGGTCACTGGAGAGGGCACTTTTTTATTTTCCATAGGGGCATCTAAGAGATATTTGCTCTGTTTCGTCACCCCCGGCCCCCGGTGTCCACCGGTGTTTGTTGTTTATTTCTTTAGTGTGCCGTGTCCTCTTTCAGGTCTCCGTGGAGGTCGTATGGCTCAGGTCCCTACTTGGTGACATGAAGTTGCTCGATGTCCTACTTTTTCAAGCAAACGACTCCTAAAGTGACATAAATTACTAGACCATGGACCCCCATTTTATCTTCTGATAGGATTTTTTTTATGATGATTTATTTTTTTTACAGTTTATAAAATTAGTGACTAAAATATTCACACATTCTGTCATTGTGTTTCTCATTGATGGAATTATAGAGAAAATAAATTACTCCCATTCTTTCTCCTCAAAGGGCGTCCCCTTTGAAAACCACTGATTCACATTCTTAACATATATTTTATAATCTACATCTATCAGAAATGTTGTCATGTTAAACTGCATATACAGTGATATCATTGGTCTGTTCTGTACACGTCTGTCTGTCAGGAGAGGGACCAGTGCTGCTGTAGAGCAGTGGTTCCCAACCTCGGGTCTGCCGGAGCCCAAGCTTCATGTGTGCTAGAAAGCTTAAAAAGTATACACAGTGGGCCTATATCTCAGCATTTGTTTGACTTCTGTGAAGAAAAGTTAATGTACAGTAAATTATTAAGGCAGCTGTATAATAGAACAATGACCTAGTGTCTAAACAGGAAATATTCTGCTTAAAACTCATCCAGATCACTTGCACAAACTTCTCGCAGCTACTGAGTTCACTATTTGGGTTCATTGTACAGTTTTAAATTTGACATGAAATATCCATAAAATATGACACTAAGTCAGGAGTCGCCAGTTTACTAAATTATAGAAAAGGGGTTCTTTAAGGAAATAGGTTGGGAAAAAACATCATTAAACAAGAATGATAATGGTAATATAATGATAATAATAACCTAGAAATATGTTTTGGAAAGTCAGAGGTATAAATCAGTAATTCAGCAGGGAATAGTGGAAACTTGGCAATATATGGACATCCAGGGTAGGGAGTGTTATAACATTCAAAAAGAGAGAGTTAGAATTAGGAAAAGTAACAGTAGAGAAGATTTTACTAATGTTAAGATTAGGACATACAAGGTTAAATGATACATTATATCTAATGAAAAAGATAGATTTTTAAAGATAGACTGTCGAACCTGTGCTGATGAAGGTTCAGTATGGAAAGGTAAAGACAGGACAGGGTGGTGGATGTGTGAAGGGAGTACAGGGGATCTGCTGGAGATAGAGGACAAACAAATACAGGTTCAAAGAGCTTTAATCAAATAAAACAGGTCTAATATACAGAATATAATTCCAATACACTCCGATACAGTAGGAGGCGGTATACACCTTTAACGTTGGTTTGTAGAAGAAGATGAAGAACAGGTTGGGAACCAGCACTATAGAAAGCAGCAGGCCAGAAGAAAACACTGGTGGAAGAAGTTCATCAGGAAGAAGCCTCAAACACAATACATAGAAACTTTAAAGAATCCGTCAGTGCTACGTTTCTATCCGACAACCCGCCTCTCATTCAATACGGTCACAATAAAACATGTCAGATAATACAACCGCAGATGAAACGGGGGGGCTCGCTAGTGGAGACGACGGGGAGCAGCGGGGCTTTAACCCGATACCGGAGGTCAACACAACCCCCTCCTCCAGATTCCTGCAGGTTGAACTGGACCTGAACGTCCAGCTGCGGCAGCTCCGCTTCAGCGAGCCCGTCCGGTACATCTACAACCCGCTGGAGTACGCCTGGGACACCCACCGCGGGTACGTGCAGAGGTACTGCCGGGGCGGACAAAGGATCCTGTTCTTGGGGATGAATCCAGGACCCTTCGGCATGGCACAGACAGGGGTGAGGACAGCACTCAGATACAGACAGAATGCGGAAGTTATAACAACAACAACAACAACAAGCAGAAAACATGTGATATCTGTCGTATTTTTAGCATCATATTACTTCCTTTATTTGATGTCTACATGCGAGCAGCACTTTGGAAGAACAGGAGTGCATTTTTTATTTAGTATTTGTATTTTATTAAAACATCATGAAGCCAAATGGTATTAGTCTGAATTGCTGTTATGCATTTAAAATCATCAGGGGACACTGAAAACCCCATATTCATTGTGTGTCAAGTGTGTGATGGAACTAAGTGAAATATTGTTTGAAAATACACACCATTAATTAACATTATCAACTGAATAAGTTAGGTGGTATGTATTATTACTCTATTATTATATCTGTCTTGACTTACAGTCTTGTGGAGGGACCGTTCATTCATATTCCTGCATGAATGTTGACCATGTGTAAAATGAGGCAAACTAACATTTGATCAGGAGGGAATCATTGTATTTCCACTGTTGTAATGTTTTCTTATGCAGCTCTCCTCAAGCATACTATATTACTTATACTCCCAGGTTGAGCAAGCTTCTTCTAGTTCCTCTCACCACATGCTGCTTTGCTGGTTATTTATAACAAAGACAATTTTCTGACTTCATTTTAGACTCAATGCTGTGTCTGTGATGTCTTCAAAAAAAAGCTAAAATGATCTACTTCTCTTTGCACAGGTTCCCTTTGGGGAAGTGAAGTCCGTTGTCGATTGGCTGGAGATCACAGGGGAGGTCGGGCATCCTCCTGACGAGCATCCAAAGCGACCGATCACGGGACTTGCCTGCACTCGGAGTGAAGTGAGTGGCGCACGTTTCTGGGGCTTCTTCAAGAAGCAGTGTGGCGAGCCAGAGCTGTTCTTCCAGCACTGCTTTGTGCACAATCTATGCCCGCTCCTCTTCTTAAGTGCCAGTGGGAAGAATTTAACCCCCCCTGAGCTGCTTGCAAGTGAACGGGAGTCCCTCCTGGCCCTCTGTGACACTGCACTGTGCGAGGCAGTGAAGGCACTGGGCGTCTCCATGGTGATCGGGGTTGGAAAGGTGGCAGAGCAGCGGGCGCGGCGAGCTCTGTCAGCTGCACGTGTCAATGTGCGAGTCGAGGGCATCATGCATCCATCGCCCCGGAACCCGCTAGCCAATAGGGGCTGGGAGGAAGTAGCCACAGCCAAGCTGACAGAGCTTGGTGTCATGTCGCTGCTGAACAGAATGGGAACTAATTGACCTTTTCTGACACTTCCTGCCTTATCAATAGCAGCATGAGGTGTGCTCACTCTGACAGTGTGAGTAAGAGACTCAGTGGACATGTGAACTGATCACTGGTTCAATATACTGATAAGAAGTATACGCTTTTATGGATCAGTGCATGCAGAGAGCCATTCTTTGTAAAAAAGAAATCTATACACTAATGTAAGTATGAGGTGCTTCGTATATGTTTATATTCAAAGTGTGAGCTCAGGGCGTCTGTGTTCTTGTTGATTAATTCATTAAACTGGACTTTAGTTTGGGGAGAGGGCGTAAAGCTTTATACTTAAAATAAATGTGTATAAACTTTAAATTCACTTTCATTAAAAATCCTTTAAACTACAGTACAGTGAGTGCACATATTAATAATTTACCTATAAAAAGGTATTCTGTGATACAATTTCTGCATACATTAAATAAACATAGTCTTGTTCTATGTTCAGAAGAAGTACTCAGGAAGACAAACATGTACACTTTACAGACCTTAAAGAAAATACTGTTTATACTGTGTATATATTGTTTATGCTTGACTACTGTACAAGTTCTTTTGTAATTTCCTTATTTCTTTTTAATTGTCATTTATTTTGATAATGTGTTTTATTTCCAGATTGATTTTATCCACAATTTTACTAATTCAGTATTTTGTATTTCTGTGATCACTATTCTTGAAATGAACACCTTCCTTTTTAAATAAAGATGGATAATGAAATATGAAGTAACGTCCTACCTTTGTTACTCAAAGATGAAGGTTTACTTATAACTACGGCTAACATTTAGCATGTTACTGAACTGTACTAAATATTATTCTGCTAACATGCTGAGTAAAGCTTTAAACTGAGGTTTCCTGTGATGAACTGCAGAGCTGGACAAGTGCAAATGTTGATCTGTTGGTGGAACCAGATGAAAACATTATGACATGTCACAGTAGAAAAGCACAACACAACATTAAAATGTATGATGGCTGGATTCCATTTAGCTGCTTCAGTTTTAGGGTCCTGGTGTTGTGCATGCTGGATCACTGTCACACTTACTGGGATACTTTAGAGCCGTCGTTAATGTTATTAGTAACAACTGTGCTTTCTTACAGCATGTCTGTGAAAGTGTAGTATGCCTGGCTTGTACAGCCTGCCAGCATTGCCAGTTCTTTAGCCAAAAGCAGTTAATGTTTGATTTTTCAGGAACACCAACAGATTTTTATAAGCCTCTGTGGTTTCTCAATCTACATGTTGGATCTGAAAATAGCACTGAATTCCACAAAGATATGAACAAAATGAGTGGAGACCTTTTTAAAGTTGCTTCTCTCAGCAGCTATTGCCTACCCACAAGTGCAAGCAGGAATTTAAATCACATATTCAACCAATTACATGTGGGGAGCAGAGTTTTCCCTGGTATTTAAAGAGGCAGAGGTTCAACTAGGGACAAAGCGCCATGCAGCAAAGTTAGAGGGACACAAGATCCATAACACACTGAGCTGGATCTGTGTCAACAGGGGTCCATCGCTTGGCATCACAGCAACTCGGCACAGTATTCAGCACCCGACAGACTTGCACTCATCTACAGTGTTAATACACTAATGTAAATGTCTACTTGTCAAACTGCCTGCTGTGATAATCTGTGATTCTGGATTCACATGTGAATCCAGGGACGCTGGATAAGTTAAACATTTTTTATGAACTACTGGTTTTGGGGGCGGGGGGGGCTCTATGTCCAGCACCCGTTTGTGTGAATCCCCAAACTTTGTGCTAAAACTACACTGCCATCAAGTGTTAAGAAGTGGGACCATGATTCTTACACAATCATTGTCCGACTTGGAGAATATCATATTTGTTGCTTGTATCCAACTTAATGAAAATGGATGATGTTGATGTTGTAACCCCATGAAGCATATTTTATATTTTCAGAGCAGTTTTAAACAAATGCAGGAAATTTCCACTCCACATGAAGACACAGTTTGCGTTGTGTTGTGGATGTCTGTTGTTGGGATTCTGCTGTTTTTATGCCTTTCACTGATTTCAGGACAGTGACTTCACTGAAGTTGTTATTAAGAGAAATGTTTGGACCTGAGCACAGTGCCCCCCTTTCCTCACCCCTCCACTGCCACTACTGAGAATTGCAATGAGCAGTAACTACCAGCAGCAGATCCTGTATCCTATAACAGTATGCTGTGATGGGAGTTGGAGTCTGCAGCACCACTTTTCCTTCTGATGAGCTGTGTACTCATGAACTGCACCTCCCATGAGTCACCCAGCATCACTCATTTTACTTAGGGGTCCACATGGTTCAGGGGATGTTGTGAAACTCCTGACAGGATTGCTTATCACTAGCTACAGATTGATGCACAGCTCTATCTTTCATGAGGCAGCGGAAAAGACATCACATTAAGTTATCAGCAGAATAAGGTAAGTAAACAGCACTAATAGTTCAGTAATTTATTAAGCATTAACCTATTATCAGCTGCTCTTAGAAACCCATGAATATTTAATTATAGCAGATAGAACCAATAACAAAAGGGAAGATATATCTGTTAGGGATGAATATGTGTTTTGGTTTTTATTTTATTTATTTGAACTATCTGTGTATATGAATGCAGCTATTATGTCAGTTTTGTGTGTGTGTTTTTTTTTTAGGAATTAAACATAAGTCATGGAAAAACACCATTGTTTCAGTATTGGAATATAAAGCAGAGCTATTAGTTGGCTCAGGACTTGGCTAAGGTCAATAACTAATTTAAAAACTGTGTTTCAATAAGATTTTGTTGTAATTTATGATGCAGGTTAATTGTTGATCATTTTTTTGTTGAAATAATAAAGTCAAGTATAAAATGTGACACTGTTTAGAGCTACAAACAGTCAGCTTAGTATCTATATTTTCTGAAGATTACATGGTATAACCTCAGTGCTCAGTAGGTATATGAGCTTGTTGTTTGTAAACAGATTATGGGGCCATAGGCGACTAGTGTTATGACCAAGCTGCATTCCTGAACTGATTCAGCTATCATCTTGCATCAGCTGTTCTCTTCCAGACTGAAACTGGAGCACATTTCACTGGATCCACGTATGTTTTTTCTTCCTAAACAGAACAGCTTCCTATTACCATGGATAAACAGTCCACAGTGGTGTTTCGAAATGTGGGGCAACTCTACTTTCCCCAAACCAGAGTCGAGTGCCACTACAGTCTGAACTCTGACCATCGGTGGAGCAGCAGTGACTGGATTGGGATTTTCGAGGTAGATCCACCCACTTTAGCACCAGCCCCCCCCCTACACACACAAAAAAAGAAAAACGTTGTCTTAGCAAAATTAATTTACAATTTTATTCAATATTGTGTATGTTATCATCTCACAGGTGGGCTGGTCTTCAGTGAAACAGTATTATACATATACATGGGCGCTTGTTCCTGAAGGCTACACTGAGGGGGCTAGTGTCAACTGCTGTGCACTTTTTCAGGGTAAGAATTCAGCCAAACATCTCAATATTCTCAATAGACCTCTTTCACAGTAGCCATTTTGACATGAAATAGAAGGGTAAAATGATGTAATTCATTGTAAAATTATACTTATTAAGGCTCTGTTCCATTTAGAGTAGCAAAGCCTTTCAAGTGAGTCAACATGCACAATAGGAGAACGCTGACTCTGTTAGTATCATTGGTAACACCAGTGTTTACCCTACACTGATGGTTCGGTGTAGTCAGAGCTGTGCTCTGTGGTGGAATGTAACTAATTACATTTAACTTGGTACAGTACTGTTGTTTTGAGTTACTCACTGCAACAAGGTGTGAAGTTAAACCACTGGAGGTTGTGCATGGTCATTGTTATCAAAGTTAAACTAATTTGTGTGGGTGTTTGAGAGCTAATTAAGTGGTTATTGTGCTCCTCTATTAACATTGTTTGTACTTAAGCCTTATTTTACTTTATTCTACCATACAAATGTAACAAACAAACAAATTTAAGAAATATCTGTGTCTGCTTGATACAGCATCCTACCTGCCCCGCCCCAGTGCTGTGGAGTATGAGTTTGTATATGTGGATAAGATGGGAGAGGTGTGTGCCCGTAGTCGCTCCTTCACGTTTTATGCTCCCAAGCCTCTGGATGAGCTGGAGACTCTGAAAGAGGAACGAGACGAGGAGGACGGAGAGGAGGAGCTGCTCCTTGTCATTCCCAGGGCTCAGCTGCTGCAGGTGGGAATAAAAAACCTCAGCACCACATTGAACTGTTTACTGATAAGCTACTCTTCCCTTCATAGTAAAAAAGAGCTGGGATATTTAATAATTTCATATAACAAAAAATTGCCAAAAACATATTACAAATTGAGAAAAACTATCCAAACTCATCCACTCTTTAGTCACAAGGCCCCTCAGTGTGCTTGCTGTCTACTATCGCTGTAGTAATCAGTTGAGTAGAACCACTGACAATCTATCTTTTTGGCGATGTTTGATGTTTGAATATCTTACATTTAAAGAAAAATGGAATAATGCAATAAATAATGCAAACCTCTCTCCGTCCTCTCTCCTCATGCTGTGAACAGAGTCGGCTGGAGGAGTGCTTAAAAAGACAAGCGGAGATACAGCAGGCTCTGGACATGACAAAGAAGGAGACAGAGAACGAGAAAGAGAGCAGCGAAAATGCGAGGAAGGAGTGGGGGCGTGAAAGAGAAGCAATGAAGGAGGAGATCTCAGAGCTCAGAAACAACATCAGACAAAACTATGAGATGCTGAAGAAGATGGAGGGAAAACACAAGGTACAGACAGGCCATACCGCCAGATTCATGGTGGTAGCCGTTTCCTTTTCACCTCCAAATTGTTCTGAATTTCACCGATAATCATAGATAGAATAATCTTTAATAATTTTTCTTCTGTCCACAACACTGAAAGGATGTGAAATATAGTCAGGAAAGTCTATCCTCTGAACTGAGTAACCTTATGGCTGAAAAAGCTGAGAGTCAGCAGCGAATCAAAGACCTGGAGGAGGAACTCAGGGTCTTGAATGATAGAGAGACAGAGGAAAACATGGAACTGGAAAGGCGAGTGTTTGAGACACATTCTAGCTTAATCTTAATCATCTTGGTATATTTATTTCCTTGGGCCTAAAACGAACCTACTTTTTTGTCCCACAGGCTGAAGGAGAGAGTGAAGAAAATGTCTAGTCAAATGAAACACGATGAGGAAAAGAGAAAGTCTCTGCAGGTGATTGCTTCTTCTTGTCTAGTAAAACAGTTTGATCAGAGGACTGAAGGCCGGGCAGCTCTTAAAAGTCCTCCAACCCAACAACTCACTGGAACCAGGCCAGATGGAGATAGTTAGGTGTCTGTATCTTAACTGCAGATGTAGAGCCTGAGAAGTTTTAACTTTCCCGTTACCTCTCGTGGCTACATTAGGCCAGAACTGTGACTGTGCAACCCTCGTCTCTCCGCAGGTCGAGAACGAGGCTGCTCTGCTGGAGGTGCGAGGGCTGCAGGAGCGTCTGGAGGCTAGTGAGCATGTAGCTGAGAGCCTGCGCAGGGAGCTGAGGGAGCTGGGTGCTCGTCAGGGCCATGCCCACACCGAGCTGCACCAAGCCCGGCTGCAAGTGGCCCAGCTCACCCTGCAGCTGTCTGAGGAGAACCTACTCCTCAGGGAGGAGCGTGCCAACTGGGCCCTAGAAAGAGAAGCATACAAACATGCAGCAGAGGTGAGGATGCTGCAGAGCCTGATGCTGCAAATACACAACCCATATGTCCACTTGACTTAGTTGTTAATCTTTCTTTTTTGTTTTTTTATGCAGGCTGATAAAAAGAAAATACAAGAATTGAGCTGTGAAGTGCAGAGGAAGGAGGAGTGGCTCCAGGAAGAGAGGATGGAGAGGGAGAAACTAGAACTAGAGCTTGGGAGTGAGAGACATTGCAGCAGAGTAAGTAAATCAGAGTACATCGCAATCACTATTCTTCAACACACAAACACACTCTGCTCTAAATATAACTGTGCGTGTGCCTCAAATCTGCATCATCAGATGCTCGGATTACATTTTGGAAACTGGAGAACGGTGCCAGAGTTCAGCGTAGTTCTTTCATTACTCACACACAGGCACAAATAGAAAGGCTTCCATGAACAGTGAATAAACATTTCCTCTCACTGCCATGTGATCCACAGCAGGAAAGGGGACAAGCCAAGTCAAATGTGTAAGTGTTCAGATGGTCTGAGTTTAATGCTGCTGCCCCCTGTAGGTGCTGCTGAGCGACACGAACCGAGAGCTGCAGGAGCTGAAGGCCAGCCTGAGGAAAGCCCAGAAAGAGAGAGAAGAGCAGCAGGTGGACAAACAGGCAAGGATTCCACAGCAGATCACATATCCAGCTTATATTGTTTTATGATATATATGTTAATAAGATTGGGCTTTTGGTCAACTGTATTTATCCTACCTAAATGTATCAACATATGTACAGTTTTGTTCATGTTTTCCTCTTTTGCCCTTTCAAATTGCTCATGTTTGCAGGGTGGCTGCACAGAAAATACCCAAAGCTTAGTCAAAAGAGAGAAATAAATGTATGCATGTAGCCAAGGCAACTTGGAAGCAAAGGCCCAACCAACTCAAATAAAATAGCTGAGAAAGAATTTTCAAGATTTCAGGGTCATATTTACAGTCAGTGGTGGAAATTAAAATGGTGGTTGATGGTGGAACAACTATTATTATTTTAATTTTATGCTACTTCATACTTCAGTTCAGTTTTCACTTTTGTGCAATACTTCTACTAGTAATGGAGTGTTTCTGCACTGTTAACTGTTTTACTTACATAAAAGATCTGAGTACGTCCAAAAGATATTATTTGTCACATATACATACAAGTACAGATAGTGAAATGTGGTTGGGTCAAACCCTGCAGTGCACAATACAACTAAAACTATTATTATACAACAAAATGCACACAAATACATAAACAATAGTACATAAGGTTAAAAGGGAATGGTGCAAATAAAGTGACAAACATATTTAAATGGAATAAGTGCAGGTATAGTATAATTTAAACAATATTCATATGCATATAGATAATATTACACCACTGTTTACAGTCAACCTGTAGCACAGATAAAATAACAATAGTGTTGACAATGATATCTTCAATTACAAAAACTAAGAAACAACTTCAACAACAACAAAAACACTCCAATTTACTTAATAAGATAATTTTTTCTTCCTTGTCTTCTTCCTCTTCTTCTTCAACTCTGTGGGTTTGGAATTGGACAGGACCTGTTGAACTGCATTCATCAGTTAGAGCAGAGGTTGGAGGTTGTGCCAGAGGCTAAATCAAACGGAGAAATTCCCATGTGTATCTGTGAGTGATGAAGTCTCTTTGTACACAGCAGTTCTATTTCACTGCACTGTAGGCTAATGAGCACCAAAGTGAGGAGTCTGTACTGATTTAAACAGCTGCTGGCTCTTCCTCTGAGGATGACGAAGATGCTTCTTCAGCTTCGCCCAGATCCATCTCTTCACCTCTTTTCCTGTCCATTCACCTGGAACAGCCCAACACAGCCAAGGTCCCTGCTGAGACACGCACCCAGAACAAAGAAGACCCACCAGCGTCTGACACACAGGTATGCCATCCTATTCATGAGTAAACTAAACATGGTTTAACACAATGTGCAATCAGAGCTAACAGACCTGAGCAGGCAAATATTTGACTAGTTTCCCAGTTGAGTCCTGAAGCATTTTACTTTCTATTTTGTTTTTCAGCAATGACAACTCAAAGATATCAGATGTCAGATTTGAATACAAACTCTGATCCACTTTACTGGTTCCCACTCAAATGTTTTGGGTGTGTATATTATTAAACAACAAATAGATCTGCAGTTTACATTGAACTTTGCTTCTGTCTGTTTAATCAGGATGTGAGGAGGCAGTACTGTGAGAACAGCGCTGGAGAAGGGAAGCGACTGATCCTACCAGAACTTGTCAACAAGGTCATGAGGTGACACTTCTGGCTTACCACCAGTCACACAGCACTAACCCTATTTCCTCCTCCAAAACTGGAATCGCCTCTCCTAAAATATGATGTGATGACTTCATTCACACTCTCCGCACTGGCAGACTGCTTGCTGTTGTATAAACGCTGTCTTTGAGCTGACTGGGCACTTTCTTCTCTCATGGGAAGAGAGTGAAAATAAGTGTATAATTAAGTGTAATAAAGTGTAAATAATATCATAGTAAGAGTAAAAATAGCAGCAATAAAAAAAGCAGTAGATCAGCAGGAGCAGAGACATGGGATTTTTACTGACAGTGTTTCAATTCTCTTTCACTCTGCAGTGAGCTGGCTGACTACCCTATGTGGTAACATAAAGGATGATGGACGGCAAGTTGAAGAAATGATTGTGCTTATTTTATTGTTTTTCTGTAGCTATTCATGTAGAAAATGGCCTTCTTTATAGTGTATTCGAAGAAAACATGTCACAATTTTTAAGTGTTGTAAGTCTTAATTGTCCAGAATTTTATTTGTTTTAATAGTATAATAATGTTTTTATTACTGCTTTTGGATTATTAGAAGAACACTATGTGCTGATAACACGACGTTTGTCTTCATATGCTTCTCATCTTCATGCTCTTCTTTAGACTTTCATATGTAGACACCAAGTATTGGTTCAGTTTATTTAAGAGTCCATTTGTAATTCCTAGTTGGTCTAGCTTTTTAACTGATCATACTATGAATATGTCTTGCAAACTAAAAGAGAAAACAAAAAAAAATGCCATGATTATCTTGAAATGAATACATTGCATCTTGTTTTGGGGGCAAATCAGCCCATAACCTCTGCATGAGTGTGAATAGAGTGGGTGTGTGTTACAGAAGTGTGAAATGTTCTGCTGCAGCTTGTTGATCACAGTGTCAGGCTGGAAGAACATGTTAATGTATGATTTTTTGTTTTTTTGTCTTTATTTATCTGTTGGAGAGACAGGGCTCTTAAATAAAATATGATAATAAATACATGTTGATGGCAGTCTGTCTTCTGGTGAAAATATGTGAAGGATTATTTACCATTTTTTGAAATGACCATACAACTAAAGTCTTGAATAATAGCTGTGTTTCCATCCTGAGACTTTCAATGTAGAAGTGTGTACAATGATGGCAAAGAAGGTGACAACTGGACACTGAAAGTCTGAGAACAAAAAGCGCCTTTATCAAAATACAAGAAAGACAATGACAAATAACAAATAAGCAAACAATAAGCAACAAATAGCAAAAGTAAAAATGAAAAACAAGAACAGACCAGTGTGTGTGTGTGTGTGTGTGTGTGTGTGTGTGTGTGTGTGTGTGTGTGTGAGGTCCAATTGAAATGAAACTCACAAGTTGTCTGAATCCCTGAACATGAAGAGTTATTTGCACACTACAAAGATTGTGTTTGTAAAAAGGAAGACATCAGTAAAAAAAACAACAAAATGTAACAGAGATAAGATGGTTCCAGCTTCAAAAGTAGTTTAAGATAAAGAAATCTATCACACAATACAAAGTGAATATGTTTCACATCAATGAGCTTAACAGAGTCTTTATTAAGTAATCTTGTTTTGTTTTTTCCAAATGTGATGTAATATGTCTTTGGTCTGTTTTTTTTTTTTTTTTTTTAACTCACACTTACATATAGAGCTGAGGCCTTTGTGACCTCTTCCATGGCATATCTATTGCACCAGCTCAAATTCAAGAAAAGAAAGAGGTTTGAGAAATAGATAAAAGATACAGGAAAACAATTCATTATGAAATATCTTAGTAATATGATGTAGAAATATCTTTAAATACTAAACAACAAAGTATGTAGGATTGGCTGACGATGTGCGTGAGGAAAAACACTGAAGATAACTCTTGTTTTTTGCCTCAGTCTAAAAAACATCATTATGGCGTCAGTGTTGATTATTTAAAACTTGAATCAACTGTTTCCCCGATGGCTTTAAGTCTGGTGCTAAAGACCTATTTAACTTCTGTGTTGGTGTGTTGCCACAATGGTCATGTGGGATCTGCTTTCTTCTCTTTCTCTGCTTCATTCAGGGAGTCAACATCTCCGCATATGATCCCCCTTTTTTCTGATATCATATCCTAGCTTCATCTTTTAAGACTCATTGTATCCCTCATTTCAACTGCATCACAAATATGCTGCAGCTGCACTTCTGCAGTGTTTCCTGCCACGAAGGACAACATGCTGATGGAGAATCGTTTCCCTTACAACTATTAAGGAGTTTAGTAACTCACAGTCTTTCATTACACAAATACAATGACAACTGTATACATCTTGGTTTTAAAAAAAAGCTGTATAGTCTCAATGAAAAACAAAATAGTAAGTATTTATTTTACAAAATCCATGTTTCGCATCACTCCTTAGATACAGCACACATGAACAAACATCATTTGAAAGTATCGTCCTGTGCTTCAGCAGACAGGTCGCCCGATGTAAAGCTTTGGTTTTGTTTTCAATTATGTTGGACGGCTGCAACCTCAGTTACAATTGATCATGTGATTAGTCAGCTTGCATCGCCATCAATATCCTACTGTCCACCAGAAGTCTTAACATTTAGTTTTATGCTACAAAACCTATTTTATGTGCGTTTTTAGGAGAATTGGACTTCTGGATAAATGCTTGAATTATGGCAGTTATGACGGGTACATCATATCTCGACAACATCGCTCTGTGTGTTGGTAAATGGTCTCAGTTACACTCTCATGCGCACACACATACACACCTGAGGTTTTCTATGAAGTAAACTTCTTTTAAGGGTTATGTCTGTTTGGATGATTATTTGCTCACGCTTACAAAATTAAAATATTATGGCTTAACGGTACCTGGTGCTGCACCAAGGGCATGTGCAGCATGGACAACAACTTCAATTTGTTATGATCCCTACTCCTCGGTGCAAGAATGTTTGTTGAAAGATGGGGGTGGTACGTTGAAGCATTGACACCAACAGTTTTCTTAATATATTGTATTGACAGGTGAGATATAGCTGTGATCCTGAGATGTGTGATGACATTAAATCTACCCTGCAGATTCTCAAGTCTTTTTTTAAAAAAATCACTGTGTGTGTTTTTGTCGAGAGATGGGGATATGTTGCTGCATTTATTTTGCATTCTTTGTTAAGAATCTTATTTGGCTCACAAGCACCAGAGCTGAAATTACAGTATAAGTTGTTCTTCTCATTCAGATGTTTCAGAGATTTCCATACCATGTGCTTGTTACATTGTGAGTTTTGAGTCCTGCTCTCTCTTTGCTATTGCTCTCTTTACTATCTTTACTATTGCTTTTTACTGTTTTCAATAAAGCTGAAATGCATAAAATTTAAGACAAGCTTAAAAAAAACACACATATGTCCAGTCAAATCTGAGTGGGACTGAGTGAAAAATATACAAAAAGCAACACAGAGTCCCACAAACAGGCATAAAAGAAGAACAGAAATGTGTACATGCTTAGAAAAACCATACAATAAAAAAATAAGTAGCATATCTCTGAATAGTAATAAAAGGAATTCTGAGAAGCCATCTGCGGCTAATGAACACCACAGAGTTCTGTTGTTGCAATGTATTTTTACCATCAATTTTATACAAAGCATAGCCCTTATAGATAGCAGAGGAGTGCATTTTCTTATGTCCACCACCTCTTGTTCCTCTTTGGGTAGACAAAACACTTTTGAAATATCTTTTAGACAGTCTCATTTTGGCACAGTGATTTTTCATGGCGCTCTCCTCAACCCACTGACATTTAGTGCTTTTGCTTCTCCCACTCATTGCTTCCTATACTGAATTGAACACATTTTCCTTTGAGTCAACATGTACAGTATATGTAAATGTGCTGTATGCAACACCGCTGTTGTATAAGAGCCTAATTCTGTGCGTTTTCTGGGAGGAGATAATCCTGGGCGAGGGCTCAGTGATCCGAAGGAGGAAGCAGCATCATCGTGTCTCTCTCACTGTGTTTTCCCAGTCACACCTTTCTTTTGTACGCCCGTTGCCACCTCCCCACTCGGCTCCCCGTCACTGTCTGCCCCTCGCTCTTTCTCCTCATCCCAGTAGTCGTCCTCTTCCTCCTCCTCTTCCTCCTCAACGGTCGACTCATATGTGGCCTTCTCCTCTTGTTTGATGGCTTGAATGGCGGGGGGAGCGGCTGCAGCGCTGTCCCCCGAGTCACTGCTGTCCTCGAAGGCCTCTGGATTTTCAAGCATCTCTCTGATCAGTGGAGGCATGGGGCCCGGGATCTCCGTCTTTAGTGTGATGGCTCTTTCTGCACCTACAGGCACACACACACACACACACACACACACACACACACACACACACACACACACACACACACACACACACACACACACACACACACATATATTTAGTTAATGGTTAGTGTATAAAAGTGAGACGAGGAAGCCTTTCACACAATGTCCATGAGACACAGGAAGCGCTAACTTTAAGGTTTCATTCCCTTTCAGAAGAAATGCCTCTTCATTGCTACATTCTTATATGCAGATGCAGGTATATTTTCTATGACAGAACTAAGTTGCATACATAGTTCTTAACATACAATTTAAAATAATCTATAGTCTTATTTTGGAATGAAACTCTTCAATTGATCTCCAAGGTGAATTTGCTTAATTATTTATTACTAGTCATCTCCCAAACAAGACCGGGTATTGTTGATACTGATACTAAAACAATGTTAAAGGTTGTCTTCACACAAGAAGCATTTGTTTTTTTTTTTGTCTCAGCAAACTCTTATTTATTTTCCCTACATAAATTATATTCATTCAGTTCCACTTCGTATTTTGCCCCTGGTCATCCATCCCCCACAGTTTGAGAACTGGTCTAGAACATTAAAGAAAAATGTAAACAAGAATAATAATCTGACCAGACATTTGATGACATCTTTCAGTACTTAACACTTGTTGATACTCAAGATTAGATATCCAGACATGATATGATATATAAAAGCTCAGCTGACCTTTGGTGCTGATTCCTCGGAGGTCTGTGACTTTCATCAGCATGCGGGGAAACATGTGAGGCTTGTTCGGGCGTCTGCGGCGGGTGTAGATCTTCAGAGCCTCTAGCAGGGGCTCCTGCAGCTTGTCTACTTTCTGTGGCTCCTCCAGGTCCATACGGTCTGAAACAACGAGGGGGAGGAAGGGATAGATATGGTAAGAAAATGTTAGCAGTTTGTAAAACATCTCGCAAAATGATATTGAGATAAATAAAGTAACATTTTTAAAGACTATAAGCTTATATCATCATGTTGGCAGGCTCAACCTTACCCCCGCAGATGAGGCAGATTGCACTGAGTAGGCCTGTCTCCGTGTCGTCCATCTCCAAAGGCAGCAGCTGGCCAGCAAAGGCAAACACCAGGTCTGTGAGCGGGCCGAAGCCAGCGTTATGCATCTGGGTCCTGTTGAGAGTCAGGCCATCTGAGAAGGTCATTGTGTCCTGTTCTGGGGTGTAACGAGTGCATATCCTCAGCATCTAAGAAGGGGGAGAAAGAAAAGAGATGAAAAGTTAGTAAGTTAGTAAAATGAGGATGGTGGCTGCAGAATCACATTAAACATGTTCAGGAGCTGTTATATATCTGTTGTACATAGACAAGTTAAGTAGCGTGACAAATGAGAAAGCGTTAGGGATGTGTAAGGGGTGGAAGGGGAGTCGGTTAAAGAGAAGAAGTAATAGGAGCATGTGGTTGGTACCAGGATGTCCAGACATGCAGATTTGAGGAGGGTGATCTGGTCAGCGATGGTGAGCGTAGTGAAGCCTGGTAGCCGCTTGGCAAACTCCACAATCTTTATAATGCACTTAGTGGACAGCTCACTGAACTTATCCCACAGGCCCAAGTCCAGCTGTACTCTGTGGTCAGCACTTGAATTCTGGGAGAGAGAAAGAGGGACACTTTTGACTGTGTGGCTGTGCAGAGTCCATACTGTGTGTCCTTCTGGCAAAGCGGTGAGCTAATGCTTGAGTCAAGAGTGAGTGTTTTAGGGGTGGATGTGATTATGCATTTTAAAGAAAACTCACTGTGGTGTATTTTCCTAGTTGGCACAGAGATGGAAAGGTCTCTTGGTGAGCTTTGCTGACTTTTTTAACCAGCTCCTCGAGTTCTCCACTCAGCTCATAGTTCTCTGGCAGCACCACCTCCTCCTTCACATCCTTCTTCTTTTTGTTCCTGTCATTACGTACCGCTACAGGCAAACACAGGCACACAGTTGACACACTTAAAAAGCCAAACTCCCCATGAGCTTTTTCTTGATAGTCATCATAGAGTATTATTTTGTAAAGAAATTGTCTCATGTCTTCCTCTCACCTTCTTTGGACATGCCAACCTCAAAGCACTTCTGCAGTCGACAGTACTGGCAGCGGTTGCGAGTCACTTTGTTTATCTGACAGTTCTTGTCTCGGTGGCAGGTATACACCATGTTCTTTTGAATACTGCGCCGAAAGAAACCCTGGAAGCAACACATGAAAATGTCTTGCACACTGCTTCATGACAGGAAATATGCTCTTAATAAGGTCTTAGAATATCATCATTTTTAGCCATGGTAGCAGCTTAGCTCTAGGGATGGCAATGTCGGTCTATCGGAGTCCACTGCTTTAGTCCCAACTTAATTGAATGGACTGCCATTTGCTTTGGTACAGACATGTCCACCTCAAGATTAATTGTAATAACTCTGGTGATCCTGAAATTTCATAGTATAGTATAATCAAGTATATAGTCACAGAGCCATTAGCATGACTGTAGACTTTTAGTCTTGCTTATTTTTCTGTTGTTTATGTTATTAATAAAGTGCAACATGCTCAAGATTGATGCATTACATTAATTAGTAGCCTACTAACACAGGAATGGTTGGCTGAATTGAGAAGTCTTCTTTTTGAATTGTGAACATCCATTTATTGGTCTGAACTACAAACACACAAGACATCTATAAAATGTTTGCCATAAGATTTCTAAAAAAAAGATTTAAGCTCTACATTTCCACTTTTCCATGTTTTAGTCAATTTAGATGCAGCAACAATTTGCTGGGCACATCTGTTTAGCTCTGTTACACTGATAATGTGCAGTAATAGTAAGAATACACTAGAGGGCAGCATAGCAAAAGCAAACATTACAGCCATGCACTGCCGGTATCTGTCAGGCTCTAGTTGAACATCAGGTTTTCACTCTGGCCTTATTTTCAGTGGACATCAGCTGTTCACTTCATACATGTCCTGTAAACTCTTCATGTGTCTCTGGCTTCATTTACCTTGCAGCCCTCACAGGAGCTCACTCCATAGTGATAACCAGATGATTTGTCCTGGCACACAAAGCACGGCTTGTAGACACGAGGAGGAGGAGGAGGGGAAGGAGAGCTGGGCACCATCTCCTCTGAGCTGGTGCTCTGGGTCTCCACCGCTGCAGAAAGAGAGAGAGGGAGAGAGAGAAAAGATTTAAGGCCTCTTATTATATCACAGCATCTTGTTTACATAAGTCTTTGAAACTATGATGAAAGCTAATACAACAACTGATTAAGAGAGAGTGGTCAACAAACAACCCCCAACCCCATGCAGGCCACCCCTTGGAGCCAGAAGGCAAGCTCAAAGGCAGACATTTTTAAGAGAAAAGGGAGGGGGCGGGGGACATTGGTGATTGACAGGGACTTAAAAGAGACACAATTAGCTGATGGCCAGATGGCCCTGCTGATAAAATGCTGATTGGCAGCTGAGATTTGATTGGCTTCTCCATTTACTGGTGAGTGGGGGAGCAACATACCTCTGTTGACTTTTTGACTGACATCTGAATTTTTGCATCTGCTCTGTGTGTTTGTGTGCACGCACGCACATGCGCAAGCTCACATTTTTATTTGAAAAGCTGTCCAACCAGACCTGCCTATATACCTCGAGCCCCATGTGAACAAACAGCGGCGGGATGTTTATGAGACTCGGCTGTCTCCCTCGGTTCCTTCTCACTGTCTCACTAAAGAAAATGGCACACTGTATAACACCATTTGCTGGCCACAGTCAGGCAAAGTCATTCAACTCCTGCCAATGAAAAACGCTCAGAACAAACAATGTAAAACAGACCTATTGACAACTACATCCAGCTGATTCCTAACACTTAATTATTAAAGCACAAAAAAGTGAAACAGTATCACGCCTGGTACACATTTGAAGGTGATGACTAAAGAACAACCAGATTCCTTCGAACATGCCTTTCAACTTTCACCTTCAGTCACCCCAACTTCACCTCCCTCTGCCCATTCCCACCCCCACTCCCTTGTTTCCTGGCCCTAAATTCCTCAGTGCAGGCTGGACAGGGTTTAATAGTTGCCCAGGCTCATAAGCGGCCCTATAAAGGCTGTGTCTGGGATGGGAAGGAGGCCCCCGGCCAGGCTGACGGCCTCTTTATTGGGATCCAGTCACCTTGGGCAGCTATTCACATCAACTGCTCCATCCTTGGATCCCTTCCTAGTAAAAATAAAGAATCTGGGGTCAAAAACCCAAAGTCACAGCCCCTCCTGTCACCTTCAATGGATAACACAGGACTGAACCAAATGTGGCCCCCACTCCACCACAGCAACCCCAACCTGAACCCACAGTTTGTCATTAACAAGAGTGGTAAGGTTTCAAAAAACAGAGAGGCAAAGGCACAAAGGAATAATCTAATAAAAAACAGAGGGGAAAATGAAAAGAGAAAGAAAGGGGAAGAAGGAGGTGAGTCCGAGGACAGAAACTTCCCAGTGGCCGAGAGGTTAAATAAAATCCTGAACATTTAACTTTGACCTTGACTGAAGAAGGCCATTACTAAATACATGACCAACAGCTCGCTTTAAAGTTCAAAACTGTGTTCAAATATGACGTTCAATTAATCATGACGGATTTCATCCTCAAGTGTTTCTGCGCAGCACTTACAGCGGTTGTCCTGCAGCTATTCGTCAAACAATAAATTGCTATTACAATATTAACACGATATAAGAAATCGAGAAATAAAACCTTGTTTTTACCTGGATAATCACATATTTTACTTTAACTATAACTGGTTCTATCGGGTTTGACGCAGTGATATGTAATTGTGTTTAATAATAGTTTGTATATAAATCACTGGGGAGACTGTTTCTCTTGGTGAGAACAATCTGAAATGGGAATACAAAACACACCACTGGTCATCCATTTTTGATGACACAAGCACAAATGTGAACATTTCTGTTGTTTAAAAGTCCCAAAGTGGGCTTAAACAACATTAATGTCCCTTTTAGCGTACACACAGGAAATATTCTTAACACATTATAATTCAAAAACATTGATGCTGCAGTGACATGACATTAAATAGTTCTATTTTTTCCACATTCAAACTATAGCAACAACTATTAGTCTAGCAGTGAAGCCTCTGTTCAGATGTTGTGAAAACTGAACCACTGTGTGCTGATTACCCCTTTATTTTACTTTGTAATAACTAGTAATGTTTTTTCCAGTTGGAGTATTTCACAATATGTCTAACAGTTAGTGATGTGTGCAGTGCATGACAGAAAAACCAAAACAAAACATAAAGTGTGTCATACATTTCTAAATGTTTAGATGTGGCAGGATTTTTCAAATCAGAAATAATCATTTTCATGATTCAAATTTATGTTTGCTCACTTGTTAATACTTGAATTTTGATTTGAGATACATGCAGTATTTAGAGCTGAAACAATTCAGCTGATCAACAAGAACAAACTTGTTTACTTTTTTTTCCCAGGCAAATGTGCCAAACTAGCGTTTTTTTTGTGACCAATTTATCACAGTTAGTTACAAAGGGCGTAAACAAAACCAAGTGCACACAGACACAATTATTTCCCAACAATAAAAAGAAAGAAAACCTGCCAGACATAAGCAACAGCAGAACCAACAGCACATGCAATCAGTATGCAAAAGGCCGTTCTAGCATTTGTTTTATCTGCTATGTGACCAAAGTCTTCAAGAATGCACCGAGCCCCTTGCTGCCAGTTTCTCACTTGTGAGGATTTGCTTTTTTTCTTTGTCTGCTGTGATAAGAAACTGAATATATTTCGTTTTGGACTGTAGACTAAATCTGAAGATAGCACCTTATAGACAAATTGATGAATTGAGAATGTAATTGGAAAATAATTGTTAGTTGCAACAAAGTTCAAAGTGGAACTGATCAGCAAAGCAGATTATGAGATTATCATTTCTGCCTATTTCATTTACTTTTTACAGAAAAGTCTATAAATAACATGAGTTGAAATTATTCAGAGTATGCAGGAGAACGTATCATGTTTATGAGTAAACAAAGAGCTGCTTGTTAAGCTGGAGGTAAATACTATTAGGTATTGAGTTTGGGGGCATTAGAGCCCAGGTGTAGGAGGTGGAGGTGAGAGGGGCGGAGCTGAATGAATGGCACTGTAACTCGATCACTGTTTTCTGTTTATATAGTAACACTGACAATGTAAAAGTGGCCCAGACAGAACAAGTGGAAAAATAGCTCCCACTGAAACGGAGAAGCTGCATCTGGCGCCAGGAGAGAGGTAGTGACTGACACTGTCTGAGGGTGGTGAGAGCGGGTGAGGAGGGACGTGACTCCCAGGAACATGACGGAGAGAGACAGGGTGAGAGACACTGGGCTGAAGGCAGCGAGGGGGAGAGAGGGGGAGGAGGGGACTTTACCTGGCGTGGAGAAAGAAGGAGAGAAGCCAAAAACTGTCAGCAGCTGTCATCACCCTGAACTGAGCTCAGCCTCAGAGCCCCGGCTTGAAAAAAATACCTCTTCCTTCTTAACCTACAGCTCACCCCTTAGCGTGTCACAACATCAATCGGTGCACCTCTTCTGGACGCAGAAGAGACAAGATGACTTGTGTGAATCAGCCTCATCAGATAGCTGGATGCAGCTTCACATGCAACCCGAACTATAAATATAACCTTTCACTGGAAGAAGAAATGTGGTTTTGTTCCATTATTAACTATCTAAAAGTCCCCTTCTAGCTGCTATGCAATGGTACTCCTTAATATTACTTCACCTGATCTACTCGGGTTTCTGTGTCTTTTATACCTTCCAACTCTCCCATTTACTCAGTGCTTGTTGTCAGATCAACACATCCCTGTTTAGACAACAATTACCCCTGAAAGCAGACACCTTCCTTATCAGCCCGATTCCTGAGAGTCTTGAAGCTCAGTCCTGAGTAGTTGACTAAACCTGCATAATGAAAATAATTTCTTAATATGAAATTTGGTAACATCAGGAACAGCTGCAGCTCTAAACACATGCTGTGTCCCAAACCCACACTACAAACTGATTGTTGTTATAGTTTGCTATATACTATATTATTTACTGTTTATAAAGTCAGTATACAAGAAATCTACACAGTTAAGGATTTTACACTAACAACATATTTTACTATACTTGTGCCATCAGATGTCTCTCAAGTCAGTGCCAATTAAACACAAAGACATTATTTGTCCTCTTGGAGCTGTTTTACTACCATTCACAATGGCGTTTCAGCTGTAAGCAGCAATCAAAAATAAATGTTTTTTTCTGCTCTCAGTGTGTGCATGTGAAATTATTTACACATGAAACTGAATCAAACAAAACTGTTCAAGCTTTAAAAATCTGGAGACGCTGTATGTCTGTCAGTGCGGATTCTATAGCACTGATGATATACAGCACTAATCTGGGAGGGGAGAGGAAACTGATGTTTCAGCAAAACAGAACTGATCTGTCATTCTGTATTAACAAGTGCATGAGAATGAAAATGCAGTGATTGATACCATGTGTCATTGGACTGCAGTTGTTCCAGTTCTATAGGCTGAATACAGCTCACAAACAGAGCGAGCATGTGGTTTGTTTTACACTGATACTGAAGGTGTTTTTTTCATTGCTCTTGGAGTGGCTGTGTGGTCGACACAGTGTGACATATGGCCTATAGGGCCTGCAGCCTGACTCAACCTGCTAACATCGCACATCTCATTGAACTAGACTTTGGCCTGAAGGCTCCAAAGAGCCTCACACTGGAGTGGAGTGGAGGACAATGCTAAGGACTGTAGTATCATTACAGACAGTTTAATAATAATAACTATAATAATGTTCCATTTGTTTTGTTTTTGAGCAAGACTAGATATTTGAGAAAAACTGTGACATTGTAAAAATACAGTCAAATTCAAAAGACGGCAAAAGAGTAATATTTCTTTCACTTTGACTTCTCAAAAGATTTATTTGGGTGGCAAATTCAGTTTGTATACAACTTCCCGCCTCACAAAATGTTCAGCAGCATACTGAGGAATGTGCGTGCACATGTGAATGTATGTGTGTGTGGGCTGCTGCATGGGGCCACAGGTCAGTTGGACTGTGTGTGGCTTTCAGTGCGACTTTGAGTGCGACAACACTCACAGAAACAATGTGAGGACAGAGGGGCAGGAAAACAG